GGGGGGAGAGAAGGTTGTCATCATATAATGGTAATTTGTAAGTGATAAGTATTATTTCTATTGGTGGTAGACCCTGCCAATGGCAAAGTGAGTTTTTAATTAACTATAACTCAGCCTTTGATGGTAATTTACTTTTTTTTTATGTTATCCAAAAATTTTCACACAATGCTTTACAATATGAAGTCCAGTGATTTAAATGTATTTTAAAAAATGTGTTGAAGGGTTCTTTTATGTCTACACTAGCGAGCTTACAGTGGCACAGCTGTACTGATGCAGCTGCGCCACTGTAAGATTGCCTGTGTAGCCGCTCTATGCTAGCGGGAGTGAGCTCTCCCGTCGACATAATAAAACCACCTCCACAAGTGGCAGTAGCTATGTTGGCAGGAGACGCTCTCCCGCTGACATAGCGCTGTGCACACTGGCACGTCTCTCAGTGTAACTTATGTCGCTCAGGGGTGTGTGTTTTCACACCCCTGAGTGCCATCAGTGATACCGACAAAAGTGGTAGTGTAGACATGGCCTTAGTGGAAGTGAGTGCCTTCCTAGCTCTACTCAAGCAAAATGCAAAATTTAGCGCTACACCAAATTCCTGATTAAAAAATATGTGCTATTGTCATTCCAAGTGAAATGAGTGAAGGAATCCTACCAGTGTCTGAACATGTTATCCTTCCAAAGACAAAATAACCAGCCAAATCCATTGGTCCAATTAATTTTCTTTTTTCATCAACTTTTAATTCAGTTTGTGAATATAGTTCTTTACTAAATAACTCCCAGAACTGAATGCGTTGTTACCTACTGGATCTACTGCACATACGTAGCACTAACATTAATTGACCCAGCTGAATTTAATAAGCTCTGACGTGGCAGTCATTTGAAACTTCTCACTATAGGCTAGAAATTCCGGGACAAATTATGCTTTCCCCCCATGTTCTCCAACCCCCGAGTCAGCAGAAGAGCATAATTTGGCTGGCTGCACATGGGCACACAACGGATGGGAGCTAAGTAGCATTATTGTTAGCTAAAAGGGCACGTTTGGATGGGACAAGTCTGTGGTCATGTTTCACCCTTCTATGCATGAGACAGCATTGGCAGGGAGTGCATATTACATAGAGCTAGACATCCTCTGTACTGTGCTGCTTTCTTGCACCCCTGATAGGATTAAGCTTTCTGGTAAGTATAATGGGACAGATTCTGTGCTGTCCCACCTGAAGGCACAGCCCAGACGGAGAGGGGCAAATGTCACTTTTTGCCATGGTTGAGCAGCCTGGATTCTGCCTCTGCTGGTGGCCACTGTGGCCCACTCACCCTCTCCCACCCTGTTGTAAGTTAAGTAGCCCCCAGGAGTTCATCTAATTTACCAGCCTATCCTAGGCTGCCTATATTCTGCAGCCCAGAATCCCCTGTAGTGCTGAGTGTAATGGGCATGCACCTTCCTCCCCAGCCTGACAGAGGGACAGCATAGGGCCACCTCCATTGGCCTTATACAAAGCGGGAATTGGAATAGGCTCCACAGCCTGCTCCAGCTATCGCTAGAGCACTAGAGATGCTGTCTCCACTCCAGAATCAAACAGGATCATACTTCTTTCACCTTGTGCTTTTAAAATTTCCTGATATGTATTTCCCTGATTAGTGATCATAAATTGTAATTGAAAACTGCCTTTCATTTACTCCATGTAAGCAGCTATTTTCTGGTAAACACAACAATAATCATTCATAAATGATGATGGGACATTACTAATATAGGTGTTTAGTTTGCCATGCCAAACCAAAGGAATTTCGTTTGTGAAACATTCAGTTAAGTTTAATAAGGGCCACATCTTCCATTGGGTAGAACTGCACCTCCAAACATACATGCGTGCAATTGTGCACCTATGTTTGTATTTACATATTATCACAACTGCATGCACAATTACTGTGATAATGCAGTCATCGTAATTATGTGTATTTGTGCAGAAAGGTAGGTATGTGATAGTAAGTGCCTGTTTGTACCTAGACCTGCATTTTCAAGTATTTGTTACTAACTGTCTGATTTAAATATACCAAAACAAAGGCATTCTGAACTCTTTAGTGCCTTTCTGTTTTCTTTTTCCATAACAGTGCAAAGTTAGATGTTATTTGTAAAGAAATTCCTAGCAAAACCTACTGTTTGTGCACTTGATAGAATTTAATCTCGAAATATATTTTGTTGGAATGCTGGTGCTACATGAATGTATTTAATTCAAGGCATCTAAAATATTTAACACATGGGCAGAGTTCCTGAGCTGAATGAGAGTTTTTATGTTTAGTGTGCTTAACTAAAGTTGTGGCTATCTGTTTTACTGAATTAATAAATGATTAGATTACTGAAATAGCATTTTATATTAGTTCCCAGTCATTTTAATGACTCAATCAGTGTTTTGGAACCTACATAACTTTCTGAGCCACAGCATGTATTTACTTCAGACTGGAGCTAAATCATACTAGCCAGTGCATTGTTAACTTTGTCACCTCAGTTAAGGGAACTATAGCAACCCCCTATGTAGGCAAAAAGGAAGCTTTTCTCCTTTCTCTATGTTTTATCTAGTTACAGTGGAAATGTGTCTACTGAGAGTATGGTATTGGACTTAATTGCTTTTTTCTTGGATCTGTGAACAAAACATCTTTGTTCATTAATCATTATGCTCTGTTTCTAGTCTTTGGTTTATTTTCAAAAAAACAAATTAAAGACACGAAAATCAATATGACAGCATTTGTGTGTCATTAGTTTATGATTTGTGCTTTGATTTTCAGACACTCTGCTTCTTGAACAGCATGATTACTGTTACATGCTAACAAATAGCATTGCAATTATTTTGTTATGTAACTTCAGTTAATGGCATTGGGAGTTAATGGAGTATATACCCTTAAATCCTATCTCTGATTTTTTCCCCCTATAGAATAAAATTTTCTTGCAATATCACTAAATAATCATATAATGAGACTGTTTAGGTGCTTTATTGGGTATAATTTTAAACATCCATTTTTCTTACTCTTGGAAACTGACCTGACCCATTTTGGGAGAAGAAACTGTCACCTCATAAATATCTAAGATGTATTCAAAGTGTGACCTGGATTGGAAAGTAGGGGGCTCCAGAATCTAACTCATTAGTCATAGAAAAATGTAGCATATTCACTCGACTTCCAGCTTCCTCTGGAATTCCAATATTTACCTTTATTTTAAATTGTAGGTGTCCTCTTGCAAGTAAGGCTTTGATGTCAATAACTGGAGTCAGGCATGGTATAGGAAAGCACTGTGCTGTGCAAGTCTCTATGTGCAGCTGAGCTAGAATTTAGTGCTTTTCTGATTTGGAGTGCCTCATGATGTCAGAGACTGAGACATTTGTCAAGCGGTGAGGAGCTCAGATTCAAGGGAAATCTCCATTACATACTAAACTTGCCTTTTTCCATATAATCAAGACCACAGTGAAAAAACAATGGGGGAGTGGTTTGATCAGGAGTGTAAACAAAGGGTAAAATCTTGGCTCTGCTGAAGTCAGTAGTAAAACTCCCATAGACTTCAAAGGGGCAGGATTTCACACACAGTCTTATTGCAGTGTTCAATCCAGCCCAGGCTGGCAGGCAGAAAATCATTATGTGATGCCTGTTTGGTGTCTTTTGTGAAAGAAGTTAGTGACCTCTGTGACCAGGTCCTAGTGGACATCATGAACTCACCACATCAAATGGAGTTACTTGGAGCCTTATCAGGCAGACCAAGGGAATAGTGGACATGAAGACAAATGTACTTTCTCACTCAGAGAAGTGGTCCTCCAGAGCAAAGGTTGTGGCACATTGTTAAGATGGTTGGTATATTTGGTATATTTGGTTTGGTATATTTGGTTGGGATGCTTCTATTGTTATTCCCCCTACTGTATCTTTCCTGTAGGTAAATAGAGGACTTTACTTTCCAGAACTACTTCTAATGAAAAATTAAATTCACCTAAAGTATTACTTTCCCCACACCCTGAAAAGTCAGATCAGAAGTGGTGCTAAGCACTTCAAAGCCCATTGATTTCAGTGGGAATTATGACGTTCCATCATTCTTGGGGTCAGGCCCAAACACTGACTGGTGTGAAAGACCAGAACTTCTTTAATTCACTGTGTATGGAGACAGGAAAGGTCACTCTGAAACACTGAAGTGAGACTGAGGAGATCTGGATTTGGTTCATGCTTTTCCCACAGACTTCCTCTGTAACCTTAGACAAGTCGCTTAAGCTCTGTGCCTCAGATCCCCATCTGTGACACTGAAATAATTGTAGTTCCATTTCTCACAGGGCTGCTGTGAGGATAAACTCACTGTTTGTGAGGTGCTCAGCTCTGCCATGGTGTGGGCTATCTCTGAACCTAAACAGAGGTTTCTCTTCTCTCCAAAGAACAATGGTTGTTTTTGTGGTGTCAGCACTCATGCACTTCAGAAAAAAAAGTGTATCAATAGCAAATAAAGGACTCCAGACTAATTATTTTGCTGCCAATTTTGAAAGCAATTGTGACATGCCTCACTGTCTTTTTTTTTTTTTTTTTTTTACACTGTGCACTTTCATGGCACTGTAGAAAGAATTTAATTTTAGACGTTTCAGTTGACAGAGACATCCTGGTGCCAGATACGTATTTCAGATCATTGTCATTATTGTGCTCTATTTTTAAGTTCAAGTGCCAGCCAACCTAAAGAGCACAGCGTGCGTCTGTGCTGGATGTTATGCATGTGTTCTACCAGGCTGAAATCTTCCCAGCCTTAGCACGACACCACTAAATTCACCTTTATACTTCTCTGCTGTGGCAAAAGAGAAACATTTTAAAGGGTATTTTTCAATATCAGAAAACAAGGCTTGGCATGAAATCCTTGCTCCTTCCCACACCCGGAGATATCCGCTTTGGGCGTAGTCAATTGTTAAGATGCTTGCCTATCAACAGCCTCTCAAGAAAGAATTTTAAATGGTTTTGTGACGTCAAGGGGGCCCAAGAAAAAACAGTCCATTGCCAAGTTAACTCCCTCATTGAAAGCACACAGTAAGGAACAGATAATGCAAAAATGAAACCTTTTCACACAATGGCTGATCAATGACACACTCCTAGCATCTCTAATAAGCCAAAGAATTTATCCTTGGTTGTAGGGTAAGGAAGTTACTAAGGAAGATGAGCTTTCAGAGAACGACCCTCTAATTTACACACTTAATGAGGAGCCAAGTAAATCGCACTGCCATTGGCTCCTTGTCTGGGCAGAATGTCTGAGGATAACATGGAGCATGGAAAGGGGCCTGGAAATGCAGTGGCTAGGTTGCAGCCAGCAAGAGGGAACCACTTAAGCACAATGGACAAAAAATTGAATCTTTTGAGTGAAAAGGTAGATAAATTATTGAGTTCCCAAGAAGACCTGAATGGCAAGCTACAGAAGGTGAACCGAGGCATTGACGACCTAGGAAAGAACATTGACAAGTTAACAGCATCCCAAGCATCCGCTGCTGAGACAGATGCAGCAAAAAAAGGCCTGAAACCTGGGGACAGCGTTCGCCCATTTGAGACCGAAAATGCGTGCTCAGAAATGCTGAAGCTGATGAGAGCTACACAGCAAGATGCCTTGAAGCACAGGGAGAGGCTGGAAAAGATAGAAAAAATGGTTGATACTGTGGATAAAGTCATTACATTTGTGGGAGAGACATTCAAAAATTCTAAAGTAGTGGATTTCATTCTGAGAGGCATTGTACCCTGGAAGAAAGGGAGTCTGGTTGAAATCCTCATGGAGGTTGGTTTTATTTTACTGTTCATGATCCTTTTCTTGTTAAGGAGAAGGGCTCCAGGCTTTCCTGTTAACTTTGTACATAATGCATGTGTGTTTTCAGGCTTTCCTCTCTCAGTATTAGGCATAAGAATAAATGGTATTGGGCAGAAAACATGATAGGAAGGTTTCAAATAGGTGTAAAGACTAGGTCTCTGCATCAAGGAGTTGACAATTTAAGGGCCAAAATCTGCCCTCAGTTACATCCTGGCCAATGATGTCCAAGTTAGTTGCGGAATCCAGCCCTAGATGAAGAATAATAAATAGTTAATGTACTGTGAAGTGACAGAATGGGATTCTGTTTTCTAACTGATCGTGACAATTTAGGCATCAAGGGCCAAAATCTGCCCTCATTTATGTTCATACAATTTCAGTAACTTCAATGGAACATGGACCTAATTCTTCCCAATTACATCTGTGCAATTCTATTGACTTCATCGAACCATTGGATCAATAGGGCTGTGAGTGCAGGACACTAACTCATAACCATTTCTTAATTATGAAGCATAATGGGCGGGAAATGGTTTATAGTGTCAGTAGGATATTTTGGAATTCATTAGTTTTCTTTTTAAAAAAATGAACTGGCACTTATAATGAATATTTGTTGTTTCACTGAGTCTTGTTTGTCATCATTCACTACTATTTGTGTCCCATCATGAGAAACAAAGAATAATCTGCACAATGAGGTGTTTGTGGGACATGGTCTCATTCCTGGGGGTCTCATAACATGGGGTGGTAAAAACATTATTGCATTAGGAATGACTCTACTTGCAATGGAATTATTTGAATACTCTGTGAATGCTCCTGGCTTTATAACTTGAAAATCAAAAATCAAATCAAAATAACTTGAAAAAAACAACAATTAAAATCTATGGGTGGAATGTGAATTTGAGCTCTTACAAAAATGAGACTGTAATAGACCTCAGTATAGATCAGGAGGGTGTTGTGCCAATTTTCAGATACAGCTCTAACAGTCCATCTCTATACAGATATGAAGAACCACTACTCTTTCAGAGGCTGACAATTGAACCAGATTGTGAGATTTTTTTTTTGGTTAAATTTCCAGTGGAAACTGGGTTGAGATCACTGAAAAACCCCGTCAGACATTTACATGGTGCCAGTATTTGCAGTCTGTTCCAACTGAAGTGTGGTACAATAGTAGGAGACATGAAAAAAGCGTTCTAAAAATTGATGTGCTTTAGGTTTAAAGATATGATTATTACTAGCACTTGCAATGTTCTTGGAACTATGTAATACCTGGAGACAGCTAGGATCCTGCTTCATGGGGTGTACTCTCCAAATTCGACAGGCAAGTACATAGTACACTAGATGGCCAGGTAAAGAACAACTTCAAAATGGTAAACTAGTTTTTAAATTTCTTTCTTTGCTACATTCACTGAAAGACTTATTGGAAGAAAGATGTTTTTAAGAGGGATTTTGAAGGTAGGGTGGCTGTGATGCACGAGAGACAACTCATATGTGGTTATAGTATATTATAGGAAAGCAAAATGAAAAGGAGTACTTGTGGCACCTTAGAGACTAACCAATTTATTTGAGCCGAAAGCTTTTGCTCAAATAAATTGGTTAGTCTCTAAGGTGCCACAAGTACTCCTTTTCATTTTGCGAATACAGACTAACATGGCTGTTACTCTGAAACCTATAGGAAAGCAAATACATATTGGACAGGTGGGCAACGTTAATGAACCAGCCACATCCCTTCATTTGTGTGTTGCTGTATACATTGTAAAACTGGAGCATAAAGAACTTAATTTAAAACCCAAAAGGTTCCAGAAGGCTTTTTGCACTACAGTTGCAAATAAAATAACCAGTTACTTGCTTGTTTCTGCTTCCTAGCCATCTCTTTATGATAGTGCACCATATACCAGAGCAGTGGTTTTATCCAGCGTTACTACGTGTTCAGGACAGATGTTGAAAAATTGGAGAGGGTTCAAAGAAGAGCCAAAAGAAAGATTAAAGGATTAGAAAACTTGGCTTATAATGATAAATTCAATGAGCTCAACCTATTTAGTTTAACAAAGAGAAGGTTAAGGGGTGACCTGATTACAGTGTATTAGTATCTATTAGTATGGGGAACAAATATTTGACAACTGACTCTGGAATCTAGCAGAGAAAGGTGTACCATGATTCAATGGCTGGAATTTGAAGCTAAACAAATTCAGACTGGAAATAAAGTGTAAATTTTTAACAATGAGAGTAATTAACCATTGGAACAACTTACCAGGAGGCATGGCAGATTCTCCATCACTGACACTTTTTAAAATCAAGATTGGATGTTTTTTTCTAAAAGATCTGCTCTAGGAATTATTTTGTTGAAATTGTATGGCTATGTTGTGCAGGAGATTAGACTAAGGACCATTGTGATCATCTTCTTCGAATTTATGAATCAGTGACGGAGGGGGTCTTATGTTTTTATTTTTATAAGTAGCTGCTTGCTGACACAACAATAGGATTCAGTGGCGTCTTTAGGACTGTTTGCGTGAGAATGCAGGGTTGGCCTCAAATTCATAAAATAAGTAAATGTCTAAAACTTCTGACTCTTGACTTACAAAAAACAATGCTGGAGTGTGTGGTCCATGGCAGTCTCGCTTGCAGAAGGGGATTCAACAAGAATAAAGATCCCCACAGTGTCACCATTGTCATGGGCATACTGAGTGTTTTAGTTAAAAGTGGCAATGACATTTGAAAACTTTTTTAGTGGAGGGTGGAGGGAGAGGGAAAAAAACTTATTATACTATGTCAACATTGGGGTATACAAGGTCAACACACATAGCACCTCAACCCCTTATGCTAATATTAATGGGACTTGATTTTCAAAAGGCATGTAACTGGAATTGTGTGTTCAAATATAGAGGAGGTTCAGAAGCTCTTGCTTGTTGCCACACTCAGTAGTTGAGTAGGGTAGGAGACCAGGTCAATTCTCCACTCTAAATTATCCTTTCTCTGGTTCAAATATTTAATATTTTCCCAGCCAATACATGTATTTTCACTACTTTTTGCTGTTCTTCTATGGTCTGCATTATCATTGGCTAAATATTAGAGCTAGGATGAACAGTCGACGTGGTTTCAACGTGTCTTTTGTTAAAGAAAGGATTGGGTATCACCCAGAAAGCATTCAACAAACATTCGCCACCTGAGATTGGTGTCTCTTCAGCCAGAGAAAGAGATGAACCTAAGCCAAAAATAATTTGGATCTAGATTTTTCAGTACCCCAGAATTCAGGTCAATGGGCTGGAGCATGTGGGTGAGTGTTTGCAGGATTGGCGCCCAATGGGATAGCCGCCTGTCTATATGACTTCACTATGGCTTAATGAATGGAAGGTCCTTTTGGGGGTTACAGGGTAAAATAACATTAAATGTGTAAAGAGGTGCAGTTTATCTCTCCGTGAGAGCCAGAAGGGATGAAACCAACATTTTCTTCATCTGGTGCCTCCCCTGTCTTAGATTAAAACCTATGTGATAGAACTGTATATTGGAGAAAAATCACCCCAGGTGTAGTTTTGGCAAGTAACATTTTTTGAGACCTATGAGCTAATTTATTATTCCACAAGATTTTGCTTTAGAAAAAAGATTTAAAAAAAATTGGTGGATGTGACCCAGGGAGTCCTTGATGCCAACTGGCAGAGGGCATTGGGGGGTGGTGGTGGTGCATAGGGTTTTACAGGGATCCCCTGGGAAATATCTATACATAATAGTTCACTGAATGGTGGCATGTGAAGTCATGAACACAAGTGGCCCACAGCTTGCCATAATCATAGCTAATGTATGGATGGATAATATTAAGGAATTATGTGTCCACACTAAAACTTATGCTCCGAAGTCTCGGAGTTTTAGCATGTCTCCAGGAGGTGACATACTTTGGAAATGTTCCTTTCAGGCAGGAGGTAACGGACACCTATCTCCCTGTCTGGTGGTTTGTGTATTGTGTCTTGAATGCGTCACAGTGTATGCCTATTTATATACTGAGCCACAGGCAAAATCAGAGATTGTGAAATCTGCAAGATGAAACCAAGAGCGGGGGGGGTTTGTGTGTGTGTGTGTGTTCTGCTTATGAAAAAAGAGAAAGAGGATTGTTCTGTTATATCTTGGGCTGCCAGGAAACACACTGAATCCTTCACCTAGAAGGCACACTCACAGCACGTCTTTCTCATGAAAGGAGGGTCACAGCTAACGTGGCTATAAAGTGCTGCAAGGATTTGGGGTGAGCATGACTCCACAAGACATGAGTATCTAGTTAATTAAATCTAGGCTATAGAATGAATGTTATGATTTTATGTCACATGTAACTATTTGTTTCCAATACTGCTATTTGCTGCAATTTAAATCTCTATGCTTTGTTTGATACACTTATACTTGACTTCACTATAAACATATCTAGAATCATAGAACATCAGGGTTGGAAGGGATCTCAGGAGGTCATCTAATCCAACCCCTGCTCAAAGCAGGACCAATCCCCAACTAAATCATCCCAGCCAGGGCTTTGTCAAGCCTGACCTTAAAAATATCTAAGGAAGAAGATTCCACCACCTCCATAGGTAACGCATTCCAGTGTTTCATCACCCTCCTAATGAAAAAGTTTTTCTTAATATCCAACCTAAACCTCCCCCACAGCAACTTGAGACCATTACTCCTTGTTCTGTCATGAGCTACCACTGAGAACAGTCTAGATCCATCCTCTTTGGAACCCCCTTTCAGGTAGTTGAAAGCAGCTATCAAATCCCCCCTCATTCTTCTCTTCTGCAGACTAAATCCCAGTTCCCTCAGCCTCTCCTCATAAGTCATGTGTTCCAGTCCCCTCATCATTTTTGTTGCCCTCCGCTGGATGCTTTCCAGTTTTTCCACATCCTTCTTGTAGTGTGGGGCCCAAAACTGGACACAGTACTCCAGATGAGGCCTCACCAGTGTCGAATAGAGGGGAACGATCACGTCCCTTGATCTGCTGGCAATGCCCCTACTTATACATCCCAAAATGCCATTGGCCTTCTTGGCAACAAGGGCACACTGCTGACTCATATCCAGCTTCTCATCCACTGTAACCCCTAGGTCCTTTTCTGCAGAACTGCTGCCGAGCCATTCAGTCCCCAGTCTGTAGCGGTGCATGGGATTCTTCCGTCCTAAGTGCAGGACTCTGCACTTGTCTTTGTTGAACCTCATCAGACTCCTTTTGGCCCAATCTTCTAATTTGTCTAGGGCCCTCTGTATCCTATCCCTACCCTCCAGCATATCTACCTCTCCTCCCAGTTTAGTGTCATCTGCAAACTTGCTGAGGGTGCAATCCACGCCATCCTCCAGATCATTTATGAAGATATTGAATAAAACCGGCCCGAGGACCGACCCTTGGGGCACTCCACTTGATACCGGCTGCCAACTAGACGTGGAGCCATTGATCACTACCCGTTGTGCCCGACAATCTAGCCAACTTTCTATCCACCTTATAGTCCATTCATCCAGCCCATACTTCTTTAACTTGCTGGCAAGAATACTGTGGGAGACCATGTCAAAAGCTTTGCTAAAGTCAAGGAACAACACGTCCACCGCTTTCCCCTCATCCACAGAGCCAGTTTTCTCGTCATAGAAGGCAATTAGATTAGTCAGGCATGACTTGCCCTTGGTGAATCCATGCTGACTGTTCCTGATCACTTTCCTCTCCTCTGTGCTGTGTGTCAAGCGGAGCAGTGATCTGAGATGGACCTGGTAAACTGGGGTACACTGTTTCTTTGGAAGCAGCAAATCTGAATACTGTGAGTGTCCAGTGGACTTGGGCTGGACACTCAAGGAAGACACTCGGAGGGCTTGAGAGTTGGGCAAGGGGTGCCAATTGCTAACTTGTAGGGTGACAGCAGGGCTTGCGAGGTCTAGAGGGGAGTGCCGGTGCAGTTGGAGAGCTGATCCAAGGAGAGCACAGACAAGACTTCCTCACACTAATAGCAGATGGTGGAGAGATGCCTCACATCCCTGGAGCCCCAGGAAGCCTCATAGAGGGGGAAATAAAGAAGCAGCAGCAAACTGAGAATGCAATGAAGCTGAGTCGTTACCACCAATTTCATAGTGTGTAACTGCCTCCACTGGTAGAGAATTAGAGGGACCCAGTGGGAAATGGACATCTTTAACTTTGTTAATTAATTGTGTATTCAATTGTATTTTTTAGACTAAAGATCAACCTGAAGAGAAGGGTGCGAAACCAAAGCATGTATCTAGCAACAGAGGAGTCCAGGCTGAAAGCAAAGAGTCTTTGGAAGGTATATGTAAGCCTGTATGTATGATAAACATATCCACTGTGGAATTTGAGATAGGTTGGGAAGAGAAGATCCAATATTCTCCTATATATGTAGGTACTTCTGAATTATCCCTTTGTAACTAAGTACCTGGACTTATCAAGTACTCAGAAAAGCGTGTGTTGAATGTTTGATACCATCACAAAAAAACAACAAACAAAAATACAACTCCCTTTCCCAAAAAAACCAAACCGCCAAACCAAATCCAATAGCAACAGTTCATTAAAATGAATAGCAGCCATTACCTTTGTTTGGTTAATGCTGTATTTCTTTGCTTTCGCAGTTGTAGTTAGCTTAATTAAAAGAGAGCAATGTCTGTTTGGAAGACACCAGGGATACAATCGCAAGAACACAAAGAAAATCTGTAAAGTCATAGAGGAAAAAAGCATGTGAAGAAGCAGAAATACAGATTTATTTTTGAACTGGGAATGTCTCACGTGGTCAGCGAAGATATTTTCAACAAGTCTCAGGGGATGGGGTTAGAAAAGGGATTCAGACCTCAGACCTTTCTGTCATCCATTGTATCCATTGTTATCAGTGGAGTTACACCGGGGTGAATGTGACTGTGAATAGTGCCCCGTTACAGTCACCTCCCCACGTCACCAGAGGCTCCTCTCAAGCATGGCCAAAAATCGTCTTGGTTTCTTGGCTTAGAAAATAACATAAACTAAAGAATCTGCTGCTCAGAATTCTGACTCAAAAGCCCTCAGTACTTTTGGGCTGAGGTGTTAAACTAAAAATTAAACAAAAATCACATTGATTTCTAGGGCCTGCGCAAGTAGAAACCTGGACGAAATGGAAGTCATTTCCCATCTAGACTGCCCTTCCTTTTTATGCACCATCACTAATAATTAAGAGCAGTTGCAATTATTGGAATAGCTCCAGTGGGGACCAAGAAACCCTAGGGGAGAGAGGCAGTGTTCTGAGTCTTAGTGTCTCCTGGAAACCTCCTGTCCCAATTTGCAATGTCAGTGCTACTTCTTATAGTATGGACACTGGGATGGGTGTGCCTTTTGGGATTTCGGAGTCCGAACAACATGTCATGTTGACCCATAGAGTACTTACAGTCTTGGACGTCCTTCAATTGACTCTTATCAATTTTCAGTTTGCAGTGTTGTTGTAGCCCTGCTGGTCCCAGGGTCTGAGAGAGACGGGGTGGGTGGAATAATGTCTTTTATTGGACCAACTTCTGTTGGTGTAAGAGACAAGCTTTTGATCTTCACAGAGCTCTTCCTCAGGTCCGGTCAGGTCTTCCTACTTATCTTCCTTTGTCCTAGGGCAGAGGTGGTAATTGCCTACTTCATTTTAAGTAGTCTCCTTCAACATGTGCATGCCTAACAACCTGTCCTATTTTGTATTTAGCATGGACACTCTGGTTACCTTCCCCAGAGCTGAGGAAGGACTCTGTGAAGCTCCAAAGCTCATTCCTTCTACCAACAGAAGTTGGTCCAATAAAATATATTATCTCACCCACCTTATCTCTCTCTTATCAGTTTGGTTTTTAGTTATTCAGAAATCCAGTTTCTATTTTTACTTTTACCATTGCTGAAAAGCTAGCAATGCAAGTAAGTAATTTTATTAACCTGCATGTGTCAGTGTCAGAAATGTCAAACATGCTTCTATTAAGCTTAAGTCTTTTTTGTGTGTCTTTTAGTCCTTTCACATGAGCATCATTGCCTAGTTTCACTATGATGGTAGGTTTTTGATAGTGTCCAACATCCCTGGCTACCTCCCTATTTTTTACAACCTATACCACTATGTAATATTTTTTCTTGTGTCAGGGGAAGGCTGTGACATTACGATAATACTATTTCTTATTTAGAGCCCAAAGGAGAAGAAAAGTTGGATGAAACTAACAGAGCATGTGAAAAAGTAAACTCTTTTGACGCTGTAGTCTCCAAAGTTGACTCCAGTCCACAAGTTAAAGAAAGGACAACACAGCTGCAAAAAATAGCAGGTTCTGGCAAAACAAATAGCTCTAAGAATTGTCAACCACAAAAAGGCACTGGAATTAAAGCTTTGATTCCAAACCATGGTCTTGCCTGCATAAATCATGGCCCTGTGGGGAACAAGAATGTTACTGCTGAAGCAATTGATACGGACAGAGCACCAGGACTGGAAGAACACCACAGAAATCCTATCACTCAGAAATCAAAAGAAAGTGAAAACAAACCCTCTACATTCAGTGCTATATCCATGGAAGCCGTGCCATCCACATCAAAGTCTGTATCCAGAGCAGGGTGTGAAGTGATACGTACAAGGTAGTGATCTAGTCTGTAATTCTCTGTGTGATCTGAAACATTCCATGTGTTAATAATAGGCAAATTATTAAAAGGACGATTCAGTCTTGCTCATATGTGAAACCGTAGGAAAAAAAGCCTTGTTAGAAAAGGAGCTTGTGGAACCATGTAAACAGTTAATCTGAAGACGAATTAGACCCAGCGTGGTGGCTTATAAATTTATACAAAGATAATGTTTGTAGATAGAAAGTGCTTGATAAGCGCTAATTACTAATATTACACATCTGTTCTGAGTCAGGGAGGTTTGAAATGGGTTTGCTCTACGTGTGTCTCATTTCCTTGAACCTTGTAAATGGCTGACTCCTTTCTAACATGGATGTTTCTATAAATATCACACATGGGGCTTAATAGGTCTGCAAGAGGAGTCTGCCATTGACTGAGGATAGAATTTTTTTAGTGTGTGATAAAATTTCAGGGCTTGGGCAGGTTGTTCAATCCCATGTATAATAGTCCTTTGCACACCTCAAAGAAGTCAGTATTTTTGGTTAGGTCTGTGACCACATGACCCAGCCCATTTTAAGCATTGGCCATACAAAGATGTGAGCAAACATTTCTTTTTCTAACTTTTTTTTCTCTTTAACATATGACATATTTAGTATCAGATACCCTTTTTTGTCCTTTATTTTGGTTAGGACTTTAGAAAAGTTCTGTGATTTAACTTGCAATTGCATTATGGGGAAAAAAATGAAAATGGAGATCCCATTTTTAAAACATGTCTGTGCATGACCATGCATGTTCAGTTTAGGCTCATGTGCATTTTTGTGTATACACAATTATCCCGATGTGCAGGAACACAAGTCAGCATTTGAACACAGACCAAAAACTGACTGCTTTTTTGTATGTGCGCATTTGAAAATATTCCTTTTAAAATGCATTCTGGTGCCTTAAATACAAGACAGGCACTTTATTCTCTAGGTAGTCTTTAGTTATTTGTGCAATTTACAGGTATTTTCAGGTGCTGGAGTATTCTCAGATGAATGCAATACAAGCATATTAAGGCCTTGTCTACACTACAGGGGGAGATGGATCTAAGTTAAGCAACTTCAGTTACGTGAATAACATAGCTGAAGTCGATGTACTTAGATCTATTTATCATGGGGTCCACATTACGTGATGTTGACTGGAAACGCTCTCCTGTCTACTTCCCTTGCGCTTCTCATTCAGGTGGAGTACAGGAGGCGACGGGAGAGCGATCTGTGATTGATTTAGCGGGTCTTCACCAGACCCACTAAATCGACTGCCGATGCATCGATCGCTGCATGTCAAACCCCCAGTAAGTGTAGACAAGGCCGGAGACTGAAGAACCAAACTAATAAACTGAATGGAAGTGGTCTTGGTCTACTTCTCAGTACACACAGATCCACATGAGAAAAAACATCTTTGCAAATGGCAGCAATTGGCACCCCAGTCTTAGAAGAAAGGCTAAGCTGTGGCAGGGCTTGGAGACTATATTTCCCTTTACCTCTAGAAGAGGTCCAGTGTAAGGATGTGGCAGGACAGAGTGGGGGAAGCTTGCATTTCCATAACCAGTTGTGTGGCTAAGTAAAAGAAGATTCCAGGAATGTTATTCCAGCACATTTCCCAAATTCACATGATTGGGGTGTGGGAACCCCCTGAACACAAGGGCTGTAAATGCAAAGGAAGTGTGTTTGTTTGATGTCTAGATCAACTTCACACAACATTTCATTATAATCAGACTTAAAATTTACTCTGCATTTTTATTCTTAAATAACAATGTGAAAAGAACATGAATCTTCCTACACTTTATTTATGGAGGAGTTTGTAGTCAGGGTGCCTACAGAGATATTTTCTGTATGTGAAGTCTGAATGAGTGGGCCAAATTCTGCGCTCGGTTACATGGGTGCAGCTCTCATTGAAGTCAATAGGCCTCTACAGAAACATAAAAAGAACAGAGTTCCAATGTTTGGAATTGTTAGAGAAATGCCCAGGTTTTCCTGCCAAGTTTAGACTTGTCTAGATAGTCATAGCAATGTTTGCTCTAAGCTGGCATCAGCTGACTTATTAGCTTAATACCACTGAACTACAGATTCTTAATACATTTGTCTAGGCTGATTTCCCACTCTGGAACTTCAAGTGCAGAAGGTGGGGCCCGCAAGGATTCTAAAAATTAATACTGGCCACTCCAGGCTTGTGTTAAACTCCCAAGGTTACAGATTTTCTCTGACCTTGGATGGGTAGATGCTGCCACCACCCAACTGTAAAAACCCCTTTGAGAACCCAGGAAGGTGCACTTGGGAATTCCTTCTTGTGGGGTACCCTGAAGCCCTTTCACGCCCACCCCCGTCCGGGGAAGAGCTGAGAAAGAAAACAAAGGAAATCAGCTGTTGCCACAGACTAATTAAACACCATGTACACAAACCTCTTAGGACACAAAAATCCAATCCAGTTCTTAAAAAAAAGGTAAATTTTATTAAAAACAAAAAGAAAGAAAATACATTTGGAACTTAGGTTTTTCGCTAGATTAAAAAAAAATAACAATTACAAGGATTAAGCATCAAGATAGCTCTCTTGAGGTCCAGCTTAAAGGTTACAAGCAAAACAAAAGCACCTGGGTTAGCACAGAGAAGTCCACAAGCCATAAAGTAATAAAAGGGATAAACTTAATCGCATCTTCCTAGACATTTCCTGATCTACTTACATATCTGGGGTTTCAAATGAGTAGTTTCTAGGTATGATCTGGTGATTTTTCATACCTGGCCCAAAGCTTTTTATAGCATAATTCCAGCCCTGTCTCTGCTCTCTGGGAGAACAACACAGACAGATAAAGGGGAAGGTTTTTTTCCCAATTTTAAAAAGTTCTAGCTTTCCCATTGGCCCTTTTGGTCAGGTGCCCACTCCCTTCCTTTTACCTATGCAGGGAGACTTTTTAACCCTTCACAGGTAAAGCAAGTAGAGAACAACCACCAAGAGGGATTTATAGGTAACTGGCTGGCTGGGTGTCCCTAAAACAGAGCTATCCCCTCCCCTTTCATTTATCACAACATTATCACATGCTTATAATGACAGTGAGATGGTAAAAATGAGAACAAAACTACAGACTTGTTATGCAAAAGATAGAAAAGGTTTCTTTTCAACATCTTTGTTACAGAAGGACAATACTTTTGAGGAAACTAGATAGGTGTTTCCTTTTCTAGGCACCAGAGACATTCTCTGCCTGCAGTTTTATAGTCCCTCAGATGCAACTTTACAGCCCTTACTGATGTCCAGTTGCCCCACTGAAGCCAGCTGCAGTACTCAGAAATGTAGGTCTGGAAGGGACCATGAGAGGTCATCTAAACCAGTGGTTCTCAAACTAGGGGTGCCGCTTGTTCAGGGAAAGCCCCTGGCAGGCCGGGCTGGTTTGTTTACCTGCCACATCCACCGGTTTGGCCAATTGTGGCTCCCACTGGCCCCGGTTCACCACTCCAGGCCAATGGGGGCTGCAGAAAGCGGCACGGGCCAAGGAACGTGCTGGCTGCCCTTTCTGCAGCCCCCATTGCCCTGGAGCAGTGAACCAGGGCCAGTGTGAGCCGCGATCAGCCAAACCTGTGGATGCGGCAGGTAAACAAGCTGGCCCGGCCTGCCAAGGGCTTTCCCTGAACAAGCGGCACCCCTAGTTTGAGAACCACTGATCTAAACCACACCTCCGTGCTGAGGAAGGACCAAGTATACCTAGCCCATCACTGAGAGGTGTTTGTCCAACCTATTCTTAAAAACCTCCATTTATGGGGATTCCACAATTTCTCTTGCAGAGCCTGATCCTGCTGCTGTTTCTAAGTTTATTAATTATATGAATATCTCTGAGAGAACTTCAGAATATAGCAGGTTTTTTATAATCCCATTATCTCCAGACAACATAAGATTAATGAAAATGTTTAAAAATTTCTAGTGGCAGGAATGCTAAAGGAAATAATATTAACAAAACAGAGGAGCCAAAAGAGCCGAGGTGTACAACATAATATTTTCAATAGCAGACTGTGAAAAGAGTAATATTCGATAACACCCCATGAATGCAGACTCTCACACCTCCGCTCTCAGCTAACTGCAGGGGGACTAGAACACACGCATCCAGGTTTTTAAGAGCTAGCACGTACTTCTAAAAATCCAGACCACAATTTTTAGCGCTAAATACAAAGGCTCCCCACCACAGAGGCACTGGTGAATGCTGGAGTAGGTAGGCTACGATTATGTCACCCTGGTCACGGAAGTCACGGAATCCGTGCCTGCCAGAGAGCTCTGTGACCTTTTCTGCCCTGGGGCTGGAGCTGTCAGCAGGCAGCCCTGCAGCTTTCAGGCGCTGCTGGCGGCAGGCCTCCAGCAGCTCCTAGCCACCAGGCAGCAGGGGGGACCCCAGAGCTCCCAGCCGCTGTGGGTGCTGGACCCTCCACCTGCCCCATTTTGTCAGGGCTATTTTTAGCAAAAATCATGGGCAGGTCATGGGCTTCCGTGAATTTTTGTTTATTGCCCTGACCTGTCCATGATTTTTACTAAAAATATCCATGACAAAACCTGAGCTTTAGGTATGTTATATTTTATGTCCAGCAGAGGGCAGACATCTATACAAACTGGCATGTTAAAATAGCTATTAAAATCAGATTGTGTGGGACTGAGTCTCTTCAGAATGTTGTAAATTTATTCTGAAGTATTGCTGAAATATTGCATTTTCTTATTGTCTTTAGCAATTTCAGTATCTGATATTTTTAGTAGGGAAATTATTACGAAACTGCGATTTAAACAAAGGGTAAAAAATATTTTCCACTACTCTAGCAAGGCTATTTATCTGTATAAAAAGGAAAATGTTTGCTCTGCAGGATTTCCATCAATGTGCAGATGACTGAAACCCAAGAAAAGATTCCAGTGGCCAAGGAAGGAAGCCTAGGTGATCATGGAGGTACAAGTTCCAAAGTAAAATCCCCTCTGTCCTCACCATTGGAAGTTGAAGGAATTAAACATCTGACTGGCAAATTTAAACACAATCCGTGCCCCCCAAACACCAGAACTGACCCAATTCAAGAAGTAAAAGGGGTGAAGCTTGCTAATAAACACAATGAACAGGAACCCAAATTAGGGAAGCCACAGATGCTATTGAACAAAGTCTTGACTGATAAAAAGCCCCTAGAGAAATCAGAATTAAAATGCAAGTCCATATCCTCTCAAAGCACAGCGGAAAATGATACTAAAAAAGATCTTGGTGGCAAAATGAAAAGCCCTAAAGAAACATCAAAAACAATGAAAGAATCCACAAAGGATGCTAGATCTGAATTAGAATTAAAATGTGTGGAATTAGAAAGCACATACACAGGACAAAAAGACGACAATGCAAATCAACGTACAGGAGACGCCCCAGAAAACACTACATCAGTAGAAACCAGCAAAGCATTTGGCAAGGAGGATGAAGTAATCATTGGTAAGTAGCTCACAATCATACCTGGGGACTTTTACACTGAGAATTCTTGGGTTCCTGCATATGTTATACACTATAATAGCTGAAACATGCTCATTAGTGCTATTATCATAGGCCTTGGCTACACTTGCAGATATACAGCGCTATGAGTTAAACCCGTCTTCGTACAGCTAAGTAGGGAAAGCGCTGCAGTCTCTCCACATTGGCAGCTGCCTGTGCACTGTCGTGGCCACATTTGCGGCACTTGCAGCGGCATTGGGAGTGGTGAATTATGGGCAGGTATCCCACAGAGCACCTCTTCCCATTCTGGTGTCGTGGGTTGTGGGAAGGGGGTGTGGGGTGCGGGGCATTCTGGGTCCCGTCCCAACACCCCGTGTTGCATTGCTTCACATCCCAGCAATTCCTGTGTTTCTGTCCACATTTGGCGCCATCTTTCAACGGTTTCTGTGCAGCGCGATCTGTGTTCCGTTTTAGTCTGTGGGAAATGGAGCCCGAACTGCTGAGGAGTATGCTGACGAGTCTTGCCAGCACGTCACGTTTGGCAGTTGAGCTATTCCTTAAGATCCAAAGTGACAGTGAGGAATCCGACGATATCGAGTCACATAACGTATATGACACGAGATTGCTTGTGGCATTCACGGACGCACTCAGCACCGTGGAACGCAGCTTTTGGGCTCGGGAAACAAGCACTGAGTGGTGGGATTGCATCGTCATGAAAGTCTGGGATGACAAGCAGTGGTTGCAGAACTTTTGGATGAGAAAAGCCACTTTCATGGGACTGTGTGAGGAGCTCGCTCCCACCCTGCGGCGCAAGGACACAAGATTGAGAGTTGCCCTGATAGTGGAGAAGCGGGTGGCTATTGCAATCTGGAAGCTGGCAACTCCAGACCGCTACCAATCGGTCGCGACCCAGTTTGGAGTGGGAAAGTCAACCGTTGGACTTGTGTTGATGCAAGTTTGCAGGTCCATTAATCGTATCCTGCTCAGAAGAACCTTGACTCTGGGTAACGTGCAGGACATTGTGGATGGCTTTGCACAAATGGGTTTCCCTAACTGTGGAGGGGCTATAGATAGGACGCATATTCCTATTCTGGCACCACCCCACCTAGCCTCTGAGTACGTTAATCGGAAGGGATATTTCTCTGGTTCTCCAGGTGCTTGTGGATCACCGTGGGCATTTCATTGACATTAACACAGGCTGGCCTGGAAAGGTGCATGACGCACGCATCTTTCGGAACACTGCCCTGTTCAGGAAGCTGCAGGCTGGGACTTTTTTCCCAGAGCAGAAGATCACAGTAGGGGAAGTCAAAATGCCCATTGTGATCCTTGGAGACCCCGCTTACCCATTAATGCTATGGCTCATGAAACCCCACAAAGGGAGCCTTGACAGCGGCAAGGAATGGTTCAACTACAGGCTGAACCGGTGCCGAATGACTGTGGAGTGTGCTTTTGGCCATTTAAAGGGCCGCTGGTGATCTCTGTATGGGAAGCTGGACTTGGCTGAACACAGCATCCCTGCAGTTATATCCGTGTGCTGTACCCTCCATAATACTTGTGAAGAGAAGGGTGAAATTTTCACTCAGGCATGGACCTCCGAGGTTCAACACCTGGAGGCTGAATTTGCACAGCCAGAGAGCTGGGCTATTAGAGGGGCCCAGCTCGGGGCTGCAAGGATTAGGGGTGCCTTGAGGGAGCAATTTGAGGCTGAAAGCCACCAGTAATGTCTGGTGCCCTGCACAGGAGTGAAGTACAGTCGTTCCAATGTTAGTAGGAATCTGTGTTTGCTAAGCTGACTTGCAGTGCCTGTTTCTTTCCTGGGCTAAGGCATCTTTTACTTTATGCAATAATAAAGAATGTTTTCAAAGCCAGAAAATCCATTTATTGAAAAGAAACACAACTGCTTGGGAAACAGAAAGGGCAAGGGGGTGGGGTGGGGAACGGTTCAATCACAGATTTGCATATGTCCTGTTCTCATACTCGGCCTTCCTGTCTGGAGTGCTGTGTAATAAGTGCTGCACTTCAGGATGGCTATAATTCAGGATGGGGGTTGAGTGCAGTGGGTAAGGGTCATAGTTTTCAGGGCTGGGTGGTGAAGCAACTGGTGGCGATAAGAACCCAGATGTTGGGGAAAGTGGGTTGGAGGTGACATGGGGGCACAAGGGAAAGAGTTTTGGGACAGTGGCTGCAGGCAGGGGCAGGCATGGTAGTGCTCTGCCTGCATGGCTACGAGCGCCTGGATAGAGTCCGTTTGGCACTCCATTATGCTTATCAGCCAGGCCGTGCTTTGCTGCCGGAGCTCCGTGCTTTGCTGCCAGTGCACTGCGTTTTCCTGGCGGATCCTGCTTTCGCTCTCCCTCCACTCCTGTGCTTTTTGATTCTCTTTAAGAGATTGCTGCATCACTTCTTGCAGCATGTCTTCTTTGCTTTTTCGTGGCCCCTTCCTGAGTCTTTGCAGTCTCTCGGCCAGTGATAACATGGACTGCTGAGATCTCAAGGTTGCATCTGTAAAGGCAAAATGCAACACTTAACAGAGGCAGCATTGTTTATATTAGACAGAATAATGATTCCCCCGAACTGAAGGAGGGCATACACAGTCTACACAATAGAATAATTTTCCCATCCCGAAGAGAGCACACATAACCCCCGGGAGCCCCAAAATGGTAAGTAAGCACAGGGTCAAGGGGGACTGATTGTTTCACGGCTGTACTGTCCTCTTGGTTTCTGTGCCTTGGGGAGAGGCAACAGCTGCTGGGAGCACCTACACTGAATGCTGTCCCAACATTTTCCATAGGAGTTCATCCTGGAAGATGTCTCGCTGTGAGGGTGACCTGGGAAGCAAGGGAGGGTCTTCTACTGCAATGTGGCTTCCGCCCTGGCCCATATGCAGTTTGCCTGTGTGCAGCAATGGTCCCCCCACCCCTCGTGGCACAGTGGTGCAGACATGTTAGCCTAACTGGGACAAGGACCACGGTGGCTCTCCCAATAAACCTGAACAAGTGCATTGCCCACGTTCTGGATGAGACTTTTGAAGAGATTACCGAGGCCGATTACCGCAAAGTGATAGACCACATCAATGCGTTATTCCTCATCTAGGCATGCATGCAGCCCTAACCCTCCTCGCCCAAAGAGCCCGCACTGAAAAAATTCCTTCCCGAAAAAAAAGCTGCTTACTGGGAACCTGCTCTTCTGTTTGTCCTCCACCAAGTACCGGCCACTGTGACTGGCTATCTTCCTCGTGGCTTGAGAAGAGCTCCTGGCTGTATGCCTCCAGGGATTCCAGGATGTCTTCCCCTGCCCCAGCACCCTCACTCCCACTCCCGCTTCCTCCTTCTCCTCCTTCTCCCGCTCTGAAGTGTCCATGGTGGTGCTCAGAGTGGAGGTGGGGTCGCCCCCAAGTATCATGTCCAACTCTTTGTAGAATCGGCAGGTCATGGGGGGAGCACCTGAGGGGCTGTTTGCCTCACGGGCTCTGCGGTAGGCACTCCGCAGCTCCTTCACTTTAATCCTGCACTGCAGTGCATCTCGGTCATGGCCCCTTTCCCACATGCCCCTTGATATCTGCCCCAAGGTATTGTAATTCCTACGGCTGGAGCACAGCTGGGACTGGACAGCTTCCTCCCCCCAAACACTGATGGGGTCCAACAACTCTCCAGTGCTCCATACTGGGCCTTGCCTGGCACGTGGAGGCATGGTCACCTGGAAAGATTTGCTGAGAGCACTCCATGCCTGGCTGAGCAAACAGGAAGGTGATTTTCAAAATTCCCAGAGAATTTAAAGGGCGGGTCTGACGGTTGGTCACCTGAGGGCAGGGCAGTAGAGTTCGAACTGATGACCAGACCAGACTAGACCAGAGTGGCTAGAATAGGCATTGTCGGACACTTCTGAATACTTCTGGAGGCCAATCAGAGTGCATTGGGCGGCCACACTGGTGCCGCAGCTCACCAGTGGCGGCGTAACAAACTTTATTCCTCTGCAGGAGGTGGAGAACCAGCAGCGCTGGAGCCGCGGAGACAAAGCACCGTACGTGCCTTGCCAGTGTAGATGGGGAGTGAGGTACAGAGCTCTGGGCAGCTTTATTGCACTGTAACTCGCAAGTGTAGCCAAGGCCTTAGTTTGAGAGCATTTATTCAGGCACCAAGCATACACTTGACTGCATCAGACAACAACTTTATTCACATTCATGGGACTTACTTTTTATTCTAATGTTCCTTTTCAGTTGCAGTCTCAGAATAAATGTTCTTTTGGATTTAGGATTCAATTTAAAGGCTGTATTGGAATAATAATCCTTTTAAAATAAAATGAGATGAAATTTTATGTGTTTGAAAAAGGAGAGATACTTTTAAAGCTTTATTTCTTTGAATAAAAGCCTTTATTATCACGTAAGAGAAGGGGTGTGCAAACCACACATTAATATTAGCAGGTGAAGAGAGTGTAAAATATTGCAGGAAAGGTCTCATTTTGTCCCTCGTTATATCCCTGGCCATAAGTCTTTTTCTGGGCAGCACGTTAGTGATCACACTCTGGTTGCTGCAAGAACAGGAGTACTCTCTGCCCGCAGTGGATGGAGCATGCCCCAAGAGGTGTGCTGATCAAGGTCTGGGTTCTACAGTAGTGGCTGATAGGTGCAAACATGTATGCGCAAATGGAATTTTAAGGTGTAATATACACTGTGCAGCTATTTTATAATGAGCATGTATTAAATTAATCAGTAACATCTATGGCCCAGTCTCTCCCTGGCTTTGCACAAAGAACTCCCAGTTATGTCAAAGCGAGTTCTATGCATAGATTGACTTTGGGATTTGGCCCTTATTTGCGTCATGCTAAATTGGATCAGCTACTTTATTGGGACATCTCCCCAGGAACTGATTTCGTCTATTGATAATGGCAGTGATCGCTGCTACTGGGAGAGGCATTCTCCTGACACTGAATGAGTAAGTGGTTGTGAGTCATTAGGTGTTAGGTAGGTGCCTCACTCATGACATTTTACTCCTACCATCCAGTGGAGACAGTGGGGTTACTCATCTGCTTAAGTGCTTTGCTGGTTAGAGGACCTAGTAAAGTGAAAAGGTGGAAGAAAGATGGGAGCCTTATTAAATGCCAGGGTTTTTGTTTTGAATATTGCTAAAAGCAAATGGCTAACAATTGTCTGGCTGGATCTAAGATATCTTGAGTCCTTGTGTTGCCCTCTGATATTCCCCCGTACAGGCTGCTCACCCACAGCTGTGCTGAACAACACTATGATGGGGGAGAACCATATTTCTGTTTGTATCTGCTCCAGAAAACAATGGGGTACTGTGGTGATGATGCCAGTCTCAGTGGTCAGATTGGCTTTGGGGGGACTCTCTGAGGGACAGGGATATTTGAGTGGTGGGAGTATGATGAACGTTACCTTTGATGAGGTGTAGAGTGAGTGAGGTGCCAAAAGGCATACAACCATGACCAAGGTGGTACAGGCCTGTTTGTAGTTAGCTAACCTATCAGGTTGCCCTTGGTTGACGTCTTGATACAGCTGTATCCTGGGAAGTGAAAATACTGGGGGGGATGATGAAAGTAATGCGCAATGATTTGTGGAAAACCAAATCAATGAATGAACTGTCTCCTGTGTAGATGACAGCCCTCCTTCTCCTGCTCCCTTTGACCATCGCATAGTGAGCGTCAAACACACAGAGATAACAACGTGCTACTCAGTGTGCCGGCATGAAGTATTAGGAGGGTAAGTCTGTCTCTCTGTAATGCTGTGCTGTGAATGGTGCACTTAGCAACATCTCTGCAGTAGCTTAAATACACAGAAAAAGAGCTATTAGGATGATTACAATTACCCATTGCCCACAGAGTATCTACAAATACATAGTTTTCATTGGATGCTCTTGGTGACACATGTAGATCTGCAGCTCTTAGATGACCTTGTAAATGCATAGATTCATAAAGTTTAAGGCCAGAAGGGACTTTGATATCATCTACTCTGACCTCCTGTATATTACAGGCCATTAAATTTCACTCAGTTACCCCTATATTGAGTCCAGTAACTTGTGTTTGGCTAAAGCAGATCTTCTTGAGAGTCATCCAGTCTTGATCTGAAGATATCAGGAGATGGAGAATCCATCACTTCCCTTGGTATTTTGTTTCAATTTTGTTTCAATGCTAAAAAGTGAGCCTTTTTTCTCATTGGAATTTGTCCACTTCTAGTTTCCAGCCACTGTTTTTTGTTATGCCATTCTCTGCTAGACCAACCTGCCTTTTAATGCCTGGTGTATTCTTCCTGTGAAGGTAGTTATGCACTGTATTCAAATCACCACTCAATCTTCTGTCTGATAAGCTAAATGGATTGAACTCTTAAGTCGTATTCTCCAATTTTTTGACATCTTTTTAAAAATGTGGACACCAGAACTGTATGCAGTATTTCAATATCGGTCTCACCAACACTGTATATAGAGGTAAAATCACCTCCCTACTCCCTTGTTTATATACCCAAGGATCACATTAGCCCTTTTTGACATTGAGTCGCACTGGGAGCTCATGCTGAGTTGCTTGTTCACTATGACCCCTAAATCCTTTTCAGTTACTGCTTTCCAGTTTACAGTCCCCATTCTGTGGGTATAGCCTACCTTCCTTGTTCCTAGATGTATAACTTTGCATGTGGTTGTATTAAAATGCATTTGTTAGAATGGATACAAGTGATCCAGACTGTATGTCTGTATAAGTGCTTTGTCCTCATTATTTATCACTCCGCCAATCTTTGTCAACCACAAATTTTATGAGCAGTGATTTTATATTTACTTCAGAATTATTGATGAAAATATTGAATAGTGTCGGCCTAGTACTGTACTCCACTAGAAATGCTAGATGGAGTTAGCTAGGTCTTAATCCATTAAAGTGTTCACTATTGATATTTATAGTGCTAATTTTTTAATCAGAATGTCATACAGTACTAAGTCATTTGCCTTACAAAAGTATAACTATAGTACATCTATGCAGTTACCTTTATCCACCAAATTTATAATCTCAAAGAATGAAATAAGGTTTGTTTGACAAGGCCTGTTTTTCATAAAACCATGTTTACTGGCATTAATTATATTCTTATCCATTAATTTGCTTTTCCATTATTGTCTCACCAGATTTCAGTAATGCCAATTATAGCACATTTCTTCCCATCATTGAGAACTTCCGAACCCTCTTGCTTATTACCCAGACTCCAAGCAGTGGTATCTAAGCACTTGAGAATTTCTTCTCTTCACATTCCTTGTCACATTGGTTCAATTGTTCACGACTCACTGAGTTTAAATTTGTAATGTATTTACCGCTGTAGCACCCTCCCATTGAGTTGTTCATTTAACACCTTCCTTGCTGCTCCAGCTAGTCTCCATCCATGAAGATTAGCCCCCTCTCTGGGAGATGCAGGACATTCCATTCATACAGCCGCCCCCCCTTCCTTCTAGAAAGTGGCCCAATGACCAACAAAAGCAAAGCTGTCAGCTTCATCCCAGTCACACAAACAACAGCATGTTAAAGGGTGTTAATGGCTGAGTTTTCAAACTGACATTATTTTGACATAGCACCTGGGTTTCACTCTTGAGGTGAGCACTTCCCTTCGGCCCTTTCATTTTTCTGCACTTATTTGTAATTTGGAAGAGTATGATTTCCAGTTGGAGTTAAGTGCAAATATGGCCGAACAGGTCCAAGCATGATGGTGATGCAGTGGGAGAAAAGACGGTGCTTAAAAATCAAGTGCATGGGTGAGGTAGGAGACAATTTACATCATGCAATAAATGTGTGCCCTGTAGTTATTGGCTTTAATGTAATTTTAAAAGTTACGTGATCAGACCAGAAATATCCTTGTTAATATACCCCACTATGCATCACTGAAGGACAGCAGGAGTGTATAATTACAGAACCAAAAAAGAATATCAGCAGGTTACCATGTCATTGTGTAATGTAATAATACAAATGGAGCATAATATTTTCATGTAAGAATTGAACAACTGGCTGGAAAGATAAAACTAATCCTTCATAAGCTGAGAGAAAGAGGAGATTCATGCTACAGACCACCTGATTCTGTTCACTTTGTACCAGGCTATTTTTAATCAATGATAAGAATAGGTGTTTGAAAGGCTTCTGCAGCAAGTTACTTTAAAGTCATTTTACTCTCTGTATCAACAGGGGGCGTTTTGGTCAAGTTCACAAATGCACGGAGGTGTCAACTGGTCTTAACCTGGCAGCCAAAATAATAAAAGTGAAAGGAGCAAAGGAAAGGGTAAGTATGGTTTTGTGAACCTCCATGGACAGACACTGTAAATCTGGCTTATTACAAGCACCTGCGAATCGCTTTCCTTATTAAAGTATTTTCCCACTCAACATTGTATCAAGTGTGACAAAACCAGCCTTAGTAACTACTTGCTTGAATCCTATATGACTGTTTGATCTGACCAGGTTTGATGTCCTCTTATTTTGGTGTTCACTAATGTAAGCCTTCTGCCAGGTGAATTCAGCAGTAACAAGGGCCGGGTTCAGTATCTAGGGGTTCCTTGTCAACAATACAACACAAAACTGGCTCGAGCCCCACCCAGTGACCTGGGACAATTACACACCACCCACTGAGTGCCTCTCAGAGGCAATACATCCTCTGTTGCAAGCACAGAGTTTGAGTGTAGCAAAAACTTTTAAAAAAAGGAGAGAAGTAACTCAGCATTAATTTGGGAATACACCGCTCATAAACACAAACCATGAGCAAAAGACCCACCCCCAAGTAAGTTGGGCAGTGTCCTTTTCCCCTCAGGGTCTTAAGTCCAGCAACCCAGAAGTCCCTTTAATGTTCCCGTCCCTTCTCTATACCCCACTCACAGTTGCTGTCCTTGGCTAGTGAGCCCCAGAGTTCAGAGGTTCATCCGCAGAGTTCACCTCCCACCCTGTGTGGAGGGTGGGGGGGAAAGGAGGCATCTTACACGCTGCACTGCTTGGGCACTTGCTCTTGCCCCAACTTCCGATTGCCATGCCTCTGTGGGGCTCTGCTCTGGCCCTCTCCGCCAGCCACCCTGCTGGCCGCTTGCCACGCCTCTCCACCAGCTACCTGCTCACCAAGATGTCTTCAGGGCCCCCCGACACTTAACACAGCTCTCAGTGATTTCAGCTGTTAGTGGGGGAGACTCATTGCTGGTGCACACTGGGCAGTCTCTTGCAATAGAGACACTGTCCCAAAGTAGACCTAGATACCAGAGATTTCAGCTCTGCAGCATGTAACAAGACTCTCAATTGAGTCTAAATTGGCTCTTTTATTATACCATAGAGAGAAGAAGGGTCAAATGGACCCTTAAACAGGGTCTACACCACCAGGTACATGTACCCACACTCTTTCAACTCACTGGGCTTTGGAACCCATGTCCTCTGTCTAGCGAGTGCTGTTCAGTTGAGGGTGAGTCCCTCCATTTTGATATGGCAGGTACAGTTCTGCTGCCCTCGGTTCACACAACAAGGATAGCAACGCTTTATTACTCCTGCCCCAATAACAAGGAGACTGGGGATCCAACACCGGCCACAAGTGATCATTTGGGCAAGCAGTCCCATCATGATGAGCAGCTAGGCAGGGTGGGTGCGTCCATGCAAATGAGATCAGCTTCTGAAGTCTTTTTCCACAGCTCACCACTAGATGTCAGGGGAGAGCTCATCCAGACTCTGCTTACACTAACACTGGTGTGTGCAGGGAATCGGTTGGCATGAATGTTTGGGGAATGGCTAGTTTTTGTGTGAATGTTTGTATTTGAATGCGCACAAGAGTGTTCGTGGTCATGCTCCAATAGGAGCATCTGCTGGTTGCTAGTCACTATTGTTATCTTCCTGTCTGTAATGTTTCAGGAGGAAGTGAAAAATGAAATAAACATCATGAACCAGTTAAATCATGTGAATCTGATCCAGCTTTATGATGCTTTTGAATGCAAGAACAACCTCACCTTGATCATGGAATAGTAAGTTAAAATGATATTAGGAATCATCAGCTCTTTTGAACTTGGTGGTTGCTCAAGCCAGTAGTAGAAATGGAGGAAAATACATTGGGCTGAGGGGGTGGGAATACAACAAGTGTTTCCCAACCTGGGTGAAGGCTTCTTTCATTTTTAGAAGCAAACTCTTTAAGAGAAAATCACATATTTGACAATATCAGAACTTAAAGAAATGGTAAGAATACCAGCTGTACCCCAGAGAGTATAGAGGGATTTCAGACAGGTCTGTTATTCTGAGAAAAACATCAGTATGTTTTATTTTTCATTAGTGTGGGTTTGGCCCATAGATACAACACAACTGCATTTTCTATATGAACTGTACCTAGAAAGTTTTTAAGGGTATGAGAGTTAAATTAAAGAAATAGCAGAGGGAGAGGGAACTGAAGAGAGACAGAGAAGAGAGAAAACAATGTGGTTTTTGGAGAAGTTAGAAACAAAAAGTAGGAATGATTTTGATGGAGAGGTTCATAAACGCTGTTCAAAAAGTCAGGAATTGCCTTTGCACCACTAGCAGTGAGAGTGTCTGGTGACACTTTGAGAAGGCTAGTACTGAATGAACAGAGAGAGTGTGAAGAAGAATAGCAGGACAGAGACAAAGGGCCAGATTTTTAAAGGGACTTAGACACCTAAAGATGAAGATAGGGGCTTAGTGGGATTTTCCAAAGTGCCTAGGCATCTAACCCCCAATCTAACAAGGAATATGTGTATTTTTTTCACATTTCTCTTTGTCAATATTTTAGTGTTGATGGTGGTGAATTATTTGACCGAATCACAGATGAGAACTACCATCTAACTGAGTTGGATGCAATCCTTTTTACCAAACAAATATGTGAAGGAGTCCACTACATACATCAGCAGTATATTCTCCATTTAGACCTGAAGGTCAGTAGTTACAGATATCAGGTCTTTGGCTAAACTGTACATTGTGCTGTATGGAGAGTCTGTATGTATGGGAGCTGCGCATAAAGGGTAATTTGTCATCCCCTTCATCTTGTAATGAAATAAACTAATTTAGTTCAGTGGCCACTGTGAATTAACCCTGGAAAATTAATTTTTTTCTTTAATGTTTAATCTTTTCTTAAATTTGATAGCTTATTTTAAAGATGATTAAATAAACAGCAGGTTCCTCTGCTTTTACAGCTTTCAGATCAGAAGCTTTTCATAGCTGTGTAGAATTGCATTGTGCCTTGGTTTGTCACCTGAGAAAATAGAGGGTTTAGAATCCCCTCTATGTTTGTGTTATTAGACCCGTCCTCTCTTTTGCTTCTTCTCATGTTTGTCCTTGTCTGTGTCTCCCACTGACAATCTGGAACTGAGCCATTGTAAACTAACATGTTCTAGTGACAATTCTCCACTAGTTCTTTGCGCATAGGGACTATCATTTTCTATATGTTTATACAGTGTCTAGCACAATGGTAGCCCTATGTGGTTGATGTGCAGTTGCTACTGTAATTATAGCGGGTTGGAAAGTGTTGTGGGTGTTTTGATTTGTGGAAAATTTTGTTTTTTTGTTGAAAACCCCCAAAATTGAAAATCATTTTAATTGTTTTTGATTTTTCAATGAAAAGCTGGAATTATTTGCAGAAAGGAGCCACTTCCCATTTAGAACTTCGTTTAGTTGAAAATCCAATTTTCTTTACAAAATCTGTTTGAATGGACATTTTTCCAAATGCCCTAACCACAATATCCATGTGAAATAATTATAATATTTATAATAAATATAATAGTTGGACTGAGGACCTGGTCTTGTGAGGTGCTGAGCCTTGGATAGCTAAGTGGCTTCCCAGTAACTCTCTATTCGCCTCCTGACAAGTGAGACTGAAAACATCACCAAAAAAGAACACACAAATTTAATTTTGATGGAAAAGCAAATGCGTTACCTAGGGAGGTGGTAGAATCTCCTTCCTTAGAAGTTTTTAAGGTCAGGCTTGACAAAGCCCTGGCTGGGATGATTTAATTGGGGATTGGTCCTGCTTTTGAGCAGGGGGTTGGACTAGATGACCTCCTGAGGTCCCTTCCAACCCGGATATTCTATGATTCTGTGCTACTTAGCTGTAATAGGCTCATTCCTTGTTTGCATTCTGGTCTCTCAAGATACTGCACTTTCTTGAATAAACCCAGTGTTATAGCATCTGCCACCTGGCTTGCTAAACCATTCCACACAAAGGTGTCCATTCAGTTCTCCCCTAAAAAGGACCCCTTTAAATTATGTTATGTGATACCTCTGCTATGGCCAAATCTGGGAAAATAGTTACTCCCCACGGCAGCAGTAAGGAATGAAATCCCTGAAGGAGAGATCCAAGCCCACACATTTTACTGAGCCAGTTAGGAGGACGATGGGGCCCAAAAATCACCCTCCCATGGTAATAACAGACCAAGGGGAAAAGTTGATCTCAATAAACCTCTGAATATTTATCCCTGCTTCTTTTGCCACATCATTGATTCTCTCCCCTTTAAGGGGAAAAATGAAGGGAGCATTTCAACAAGTGATCTGTGGGTAACATTCCCAACTAGACTTATAGAGTAATTTTTCCTATACAAGCCCTCTAGGCACCCCATAACCAGCCCATGAACCATGCTGTCCTTCACCACAGTTGGGCTCAAATATATATTTGTATCAGTATAATGTATTCTGCACATGGTGCCAGGATAGAACAGAGCCTTAGGAAATGAATGGGAAAAATACAACCACCATTGTAGTAAACCACGTAAAGGTGAGATTGACACATGTGAACCAACAAAGAAGTGAACTAGCATTGTTTTAAAAATCTTTTCCTGAAATAGTTCTGTATCTTTGCACTTCAGGTCATGTTTCTGGCTACTCTACTTGTTAGTGTGTCTTATGTGCAATTTCACTGTCATTTATTTAACTAAAAATATTCTTTTTTGTTTTTCTAGCCTGAAAACATATTATGTATAAATCGCACTGGAAACCAGATTAAAATTATTGACTTTGGTTTAGCTAGGAGGTAAGTTCAACTATGAGCCACTCAAAATCCATTGACATTTTATTTTCTTTCATTCTTGTGATGTTTGTTCTCACATTTCAGTGACTCTAAAGTGATTTTGAAATATGAAGGAGCAAAGCAATATGCTCCTGCAGGCATGAATTTGCAACTTAGTGCACTAACTGTCACGTTGTCTTTTCCAGTGACATTTGTGCAGGCTAATGTTGTATTAGTATTCTCATTTACACACAATAATGTCTCAAATAGAGATTTTTCCCCCAGCGACTCTATGACGTCCATTAGGGACTTCACCTTTGCTATTGATTTTATATTGAAGGTGCTCAGATTCTGCAGCGCTGGGCCTCAGTCTAAAACCCCCAAGACAGATGGTAAAATGCATGACAAAACTATCTCATTTGAAACAGGAATACAGTGGATTAGCTCTAATTCCACAGTCTCTATCCCTCATCTGCCACAATGTCTGCTTCTCATGGATGAGGGTAAGGGATGAGGGTGTATAGGAAATGAGCCATGAGTTTGCAGTCTGAAATGGCTGCAATGTGGAGAATGCAGTTTTGGCCTTTACGCACAAAGGTATCACAGAGCAGGGCAGTAATGATCTCTCTTTTGGAACTGGTGTGACTGCACCTGGAATACTGTTTTCACTTCTAGAAACCACATTACCAGAAAGATATTGCTTAATTGGTGGAAACTGAGAGTGGAGGAATAAAAATGATCAGAGAACTAGACTTAAGAAGAAAGGCAAAAAAGATTAATATGGGTAGTTTGGCTAAAGGACAGCTAAGGTGAGGCATAAACACCTATAAATATTTAGAGGGTAAACAGCAAGGAGAGAGAGGAATTAGCTGGTCCAGTAAATAGTGGTGAAACATCGAGTAATAGAATGCAATTAAGGGAAGGAAAATGCATGCTCAATCTGAGCCTAACAGTGAGGGATACTAAGTTTTAGCAAGGCCGTCCATGGAAAACATAGAAGCCCCATGTCTTGGGACATTTAAAATTAGAATGGACAAAATACTAGAGAATGTTCTAGAACACTCCTGCAACAGCAGGGAGAGGGACTAATAGGAGGCTTGATAAGTGTTTTCTTTGTCAAACTCCTATGAATGTGTCAAGCAAAAGATGTACCAATGCTCACTTTCTGTTGTTCTGGTTTAACATAGTTCAGTATTTGAAGCCTGTGAGACCTATAGACAGCATCATATGTGAGCAGTGGTCCAGTTTTTACATTGGTCATTTACATCAGCCAAATGGTACAGGATTTAACACCTCTCACATGGACATGGTTAGAAGGAGGCCTGGTTGTTTCTGTGCCTGCCCCAGGTTTTTTACTTAACACTAGGCATGTGGGGAAATATTCCCTGATCACCATCCCACATACTCTCCCTAAGACTAAGAGGAGAGAGCAGAGCTGTTACTTATCATTTGTTAAGGGCCAGTTATATCCTTGGTGCAGGAGTGGGTCCTATACCATAGGGAAGGTTTCTGCAAAACAGCCAGGGAGACTGTGAAAAAGTCCCTTGGTCTAAGTCTGGGTGGGTGGCAGCTATGATCTGCTAGCTCTCATCCCTCTCTCCAGTTAATATGAAACTACATCTAAAAGGAGCACAGCTCTTTTGAGAGTCTGGTATTACAGAGTGGAGCAAGTGACCATGAGTTTGAAGGAACAGAATAATAGTTGAATCCTGAGGAAATGTTAACTTAATTCTGTAGGTAGAGATTATTTGATTAGGTAAACAACAGGTCATGGTTTATATCAATTCTATGCTGACCCAGTTCTCTTGCAGGGCCTCTTGTATTCTGACCACTCTAACTTAAATAAAAATCCAGACCCATCCTTTTTTCCGGGTTCTCAGGGGCTTGACAGGCCTTGCTATTACCATTGCATCTATGTTTTGCCCTCACTTGCACTGAACCAGAGGAAAGCCAGTGGGTAAAATCTTGGATCCCTTGCAATTAATGGCAAAATTCCCATTGACTTCTGTGGAACCAGGATTTCACTAAACAGTTCTAAAATAATTTTTTAACTCTTTATGTTTCACCTTAGGAAATGTTACCAGCATTAGCCCTGCTTTTACCAGAGGATGCATAGCTGTTGTGCCAAAGGAAATTTTATGTAAACATTACATCTTAACCCATATGCTGCTGTTTCATTTTTCAAGGATTTTTATTTCTTTTTGTACCTCCAAAGGGTTGTCCAGAAGCGGCTCAGTGATATAGATGATGTTTGCATCTGAGTCAGTTATGTTAAGGACTCCTCTTTGCCCTCTTCATTATGACTTTGCCTATTATTACATATTTGCAGTGACCAGGAAAGAGGGTCCTCAGTTTTATATACAGAAAAAAAATAAGAATATGGGGGAAAAAACATAAGCAGCTATAAAGCATGATTCTCTTTCCTAAAGGAAAAGGCGAGGGAATATTTGAGTGAAAACAGGAGGTGTGGGCATGAGTTAGTCCCTCCAGAGAAGAAATCAACAACTTCTTATGGTAGCATAATAATAATAATATTTACCTAAAAAAATATTTTTTAAACATTGTGGGGTTCTCATTATACAAACCCATGTACTTTCAGCTCAAAGAGCTTTTTTCTTTAAAAGGATTTTATAAAAATAGAAAAAAATGTACACAAAAAAAAACTACAGCTTTAGGGAAAGGGGTGCCCAATAGAAAAGGTTTTATTAAAGCCAGTTTGGAAACATAGTCTTGCAAGAAATAGTCTTTTAAAAACAACAAACATTTATGGCCTGATCTGACTCATTACATAGGCAAAACTCCCATTAACTTTAATAGGAGTTATTACTGAGTGATGATTGCAAGACTGTGCCCTTCCTTATATTAACTAGCAAATTATTAACATCTTTCACTTCCTGCAAAACCAACCTGCTGGTTACTAAAATCAAATAATGATCTCTTCTCAGGCTTCCATCTGGGCATTTATATTGTGTCCATAACTCTGTGATCTGAGCACTTTTACACAGTGAATTATGGTTTGGGATCCTGCTGAGCAAAATATCTCCAAACTTGCCTAAAAATGGAAGTTGATTCAGTGCATCTTCAGAACGACTTTTGCTCGTGAGTCTCCTCTGGAGACCAGCAAGAGTTTAAAGCTGTCCTCTCTTTGTGGAAAGCTTGTTGCCACATGGGGGTGTGTAGGTTACTCTATCATGTACTTGCAATACGAATTAAGCCCTGTGTCTGCCAATTTGAGGATTGAGGATGGAGCTTGTCTCTCTCACCAACAGAAATTGGTCCAATCGAAGATAGTACCTCACCCACCTTGTCTCTCTAGTTTGAGGATGATGTCTTTAGAACTTGTGCCAGACATTTCTCACTCAAACATAGTATCTATAAAAGTGACAGAGGTTGGGTTACATGTGCCTGAATGTTAGCTATTCCAATTTGATTTTTGTCTGTAATAACATAGAAAACCAACTGTAGTGCCCTCAGCCTATTTCATCCACCTCTGTTCCTGTGACTTGGATTGATCTTATTAGCTGAATCACCACATGGGGGCATACAGCAGCTTGCAGAAGACATGGCGGTGATTCTAATGTAATCATGCAACTTTTAGTTGCAACCATATTTTTATTGTCCTAAGTCTTTCTCTGGCTCTTTCTCCTGCCATACTACCACCTGTCTAAATTAGGAAAATTAAATGATGGATAATGAGCTGTTTATAACTGTGACTTTCTGAATTGAAGCAGAGTGCCAAAGTTAGAATATGCACCAGAAGCATGATTCACTAGAGACAAAAAGTTAATACAAATGATTTAGTTTCTTTGATTTTGTTCAGATTTAAATGGCTGATTCACTTAAACATTTGATCAAACTAATTGGAAGTGACTGTGAATTATAAAAACTCTCTGTGGGGATGCACAGGCTGAAATTCTGCATCTTTGAAGACTTAGATGTAGAATGTACCTGTCCGGCTTTGCTACAGTATGAAAAATGTGACAGTTCTTTTTGCAAGTGTGCAGTGCATGTACTTAGTCTGCTGTCAGTGCTGATGCCCCTTCTTGTTTCTGATGAAGGTACAAACCTCGTGAGAAGCTGAAAGTTAATTTTGGCACTCCTGAATTCTTGGCTCCCGAAGTGGTGAACTATGACTTTGTTTCGTTCCCAACTGACATGTGGAGTGTAGGCGTCATCACGTATATGCTGTGAGTAAGCTTCTGTATGGGTCATGGCCATGGCTTCATCTGCTCTGTAAGAAAGGCCAGTGGAAGGTATTTGCAGAGCTGGAATGCAGCCTATTCAGAGATTCCCATCTAGGGAGAGTGTGTTTCTTGTTGCACTCACTTCATTATCCAAAAGAGAGAGCCAATGAAAGGGAACATCACTGCCACACAACTTTAAATACCTGAAAAACAATCAATCTTCATTCTAAATACTTAAACCCTCTGTTTTCTCTTTGCCTTCTTGGTGTCTAATTAGTTAATAAAAACAAAACAAATTAAGTTTAATTTACTTAGACAAGGTGTAATCAGTTGCCTGAAACTTAACAAAACTTCTGCTTTCAATGAGTTATTGAGGTCCCAGACTTATCTTTTCATTTTAAATCAGGCCCTTGGGAACCTGATCCAAAAGGACTTTTGCTCCCAACATGCACACAAGAGTTATTCCTGTCTTGTGTGGAGTTACTTCCTGGACCTGAAAAATTCACTTCACAGCCACGAATGGGATTAAAATTCTCCCCCGGAGTTTAGGCTGCGAGCCATGGGGGGTCATCTCTACAGGCTCGCTAACTACACAGCATTGCAACATTTTTTTGTAGCTGTTTTCAGTGGACTGGGTCATTTTTTATTTAAGTTTATGTAGAAGCCAAGAAAAATTTGTAGGTGAATCCAGTCATAAATGATTGAAGAAACAAATCTGGGCTTAGAGACTAATTGAAGACAATATTTTATATTTCAAACAGTATTTTAATCCAGAATAAATATGGATTTAGGCCTCAGTTCAGCACTTATGTGCATGCTTAGCTTTAGGCAACTGAGCAGTCCTATTCCTGTCTGAAGAAGCAGTTGATCATGTGCTCACATCGCATTGAGTTCAATTCCTGGGGTATCCATTCACTCTGACCCTGGAGTTGGCTGAGTGAATTGCAAATGGGCAACGTGAAGCATTCCTTCCCCCTGACTGAGCTTTATTGTGCCACCATGCTCCTAGTTATTACAAACCCACTGACCTGAGTAGTTAGGGACTGAGCCAGGTAGCCAAGCCCCACCATAGCACATGTTGCACTGGCCTTTGGGACAGTATCTAGCTGGAACCCTCTTTTCTAAGTGACTGGTGTGATTCTAAAGCAGCAGTGAGCACAGTGAGGATACATAGGAGAAATGCATGCTTCCCATTATTAGCTGCCCATTTCTCTCTCTCTCTCTTCTTTTTAAAGGCTTAGTGGCTTATCACCGTTCCTAGGAGAAACGGACGCAGAGACAATGAATTACATAGTGAACTGCAGCTGGGATTTTGATGCAGAAGCATTTGAACAACTCTCAGAAGAGGCAAAAGACTTTATTTCCAAACTCCTTGTGAAGGAGAAGAGGTATCTTCTTCTATGTTTGTCATGGCAGCCCTACCATTTAGAATGAGTCCTTCCTAGCTAAATGTATGTGTGGCAGCCAATCATTGAAAGTTAGTACTATGACTTTTCTTTTGCCATGTTTGTGTCTACCAGGCAGCTCAGTAGTGACACAAACCTCATTTTTTAAAAGAAAAATGTCAACGTATTTCAATCAAAGTAAAGGCTCTCCCAGTAACTGAGCCTGTTGCAAGAGAGCTGAAGCGGAGGAAATGTGAATCATTTGTTTTGTTTTAAGAACCTTTCACAGATGTCCAGGAGCTAGTTCTGTCATCACTTTGGCTTCTTTATGAGCATTGATACAAACTGCAAAAATGTCTCTCAAAATACAAAAGGTGATAAGCAGTAGCTGCAGTTATGAAAGTGACATAATTCCCAATCCAAGTGCCTTCCATATACTGGATACGTACAAAGAACCATTTGGGGCCTAATTCTGTTCTTGGAGTCATACCCTCAGCTCCCATTGAAGTCAAAGGGAGCTGTATACATTGCATTGCAGGACAGAATATGGTCCAGCGGCCTCGTCTTCCCTTGATGAACATATGTCCAGTGACTCCTTCTACCAATGATGGGAATGTTTCACATTGTTTTAGGAGAAAACTGCCAACAGGAACTCTTAGAACACTGGCTTTTTCCAGACTGTCAGCCAGTGGTGCTGGAACTCTTTTAATAGTGGGGGTGTTGAAAGCCAGCCCCCTTACCACTGTCCACAACTCCCCCCAAGGCTGGGGCTGGGAGCAGTGCCATGTCTCTGGGAGGGGGGACCCAGACAGGGCAACAGGGCATAGGCTGGGGGCGGGCATGGGGCCCGCAGCTGGGACCCCACATGTGGGGCCAGTAGCAGAGCCCTGGCCGTGGAGCCAGCTGCCAGGACCCTGGGAGCAGAGCCCCGGGAGTGGGGGGGCCGAGTGCAGGGCCCTGGACCAGTGGCCAGGGAGTGGGGCCAGTGTCCCAAGAGTGGCTGGGAAGAGGGGCTAGCAGCCAGGACCTGAGAGTGACCGGGACTGGAGTCCAGGGCATGGCCCTGGTGCAGAGAGCCAGGCACAGGGCCAGTGGCCGGGTAGCAGGGCCGGAGGCTGGGACCCAAGCCCTGGGCTGAGGAGTGGAGGCCTGGGCATGAGGTCAGTGGTCCCGCATAAAACCTGGGGGTGCCCAGAGTTCCCAGGCCTATGCTTTCAGCTAAACTATGCAAATGAGATTTAATAATAAAGTTCTTAATACTAACTTGTCAATGAAAGTTAAGATGGGCATTAAACTGGAAGGGTAATTGTCATTTAGTGGATTTGAACAGAGAGCTAGGAGTCAGAAGACAAGGAGTCTGCTCCTGATGGCCACTGACTTGCTGTGGGATATTAACTTCAGAGAGAGACTCCCATCTGTAAAAAGGAATTAATAAGGATTTAAGTTTGTGCAGAGGACTTAGAGATCTGGGGATGAAAAATGCTATTTAAGGGCAGATGATTATTAATTATTATTATTATTATTATAAGCAAGAAGCATTGTTGGATCTGCCAGCTGCTCACTAGGCATAATAGCAGGCTGTGGCTCACTCTCTTGGAGAAAGAGGAATGACCAGTGCACAGCAAACTCTTCCCTCCTGAGACATCTGGGGATGACCTGGTGCAACAGCTTGTCCTATCTCCTAGCATGTTCTTGTTCATCAGGAGGGATTCTGGCTGGCTGTTCACATTATGCAAAGGGCTGCTAAACATCAGTTCTGCTGACACCTTTTTCCTTGAGTGGCAGGTGAGCCAAAGGCAGGACTTAGCCCTATCTTTTCATATCAAAGTTCAAAGGCAAGTTCAAATTTTGAAAAAAATTGCACAAAGGATGCCCCAAAAGACAAGATCCAGGATTTTCTTGCATTCCATATGTTTTCAAAGACCCATGGAAATGACCTTCGATTGAGCACCTTGCTGATTGTCTGCATACTGTAGTTATTTTTATTACAATTAAATTATGTTTCAGTTATAAACCAACCTTTTGGCTGTCACATCTTCAAAGTACTGAACACAAAGACAAGCTCTGTGCAGATAGTTGAATCTGAAACAGAACCTATAAGTTTCCAGCCAACTGCAGGAGGAATACTTGAAAGCCATACCTTTTGTTTACACATGGATGCTCTCATTAGTGTTAATTGACTTTTGTGGGCATCTGTGATCCTCCTTAAATATACTGAAGGGAACGCTCTTGCATTGTCAGGGGAGATGGACTACATATCACCACAAATTAATATCTCTGTGTTCTTTGATGCTCTTGGCACAGTCCTACCTAAATGCCATGTGTTCTACCATTCACATTCCAAAATCACATCCAAATAGAGCAACAAGGCTACACAATATTCAGGCATAAACCCAAGTGCAGAAGAACCTAAAACACCTCTAAGCACCACTTAGTCCCACCTGGAGGGTAGGAGTGAGAATTGGTCTTCACGCAGGCTCTCTACGCTGAGATAACTAACAGCTATAAAGGGCCTTACCCCCATCTTTTTTTGTATGTTTACTTTTATTTTCATTTAGAAAAAACAACCTTTCACATGTGGTATCAGTGAAGAGCAGCTGAACCATTCCACTGCAAGCAGACAAAGAGATTATTTGTAAATCACAATAGTGGTAGCAACATTTACATCACAGCCCTTCACAAATTTTATTTTCCAGTTGCAGGATGAGTGCAGCACAGTGTCTGAAACACGAATGGCTAAATGATCTGCCTGGCAAAGCCAAGAAATCCAAGCTTTGCCTGAAGTCCCAGTTGCTGCTACAGAGTTATATGGCTCATAGAAAATGGAAGGTAAATATACAAAATCTGTCATCTTTATTTCCGAAGACGAGTGATTGTACTAGTTCAGTGCAGTCAGGGCCCTTATTCTTCTTTGTCATAGTCCTCTTCTAAACATGGAGAACTCCCTTGCAGTATGAATTTTGGAATTACATTTGCAGTTATAGATTTGAGTGTTCACTTCCCCTTTTAAGTCATGGCATCTCTGAGTTTAGATATTTTTTTTTCTAAATTTTTACTCTTATTTCTGATTGATGTTTCAAAAAAAATTAGGGGTAAAATTCTAGGGATTCAAAGGCTTCAGACACTATTTATTTTATGTTAAACGTGTAACCTTCCAAGCAAAAGCAGTTACTTTTCAGTTGACATAGTTGCATTAGCCTGTCTTCAATGGATAGGAAATACTGGAATGTAACAACAGAAAGCTATTTTGTGTAGTATTCATCGCAAAGGTCTAGGACCAAGCAGAAGCTGAGTTCAAATCCATCCTGAGTCCCTCATTCACTGTACAACCTTGGGAAAATTACTTGACCTTCTTGTGTCACAATCCAGCCAGATGGAAAGTTGCATACTTTCAGGACCACTGATAATCTCTTGCTAATTCATGAACCATTCTCAGTAAATATGTAGGAATTTCCATAAAAGGTGATCAATAATTATACTCTGCAAAGGAGGGACACCACAACCCTGGAACATTTAACCTATAGGAAGAGGACGAAATCCAACCCAGTTTTAACTCACTAGTGAGAGTAGCAAAACCTTCCTAATGAGTTAGACCCTGAAGACCAAATGTCATTTACTTTCCCAGACTCCAGAATTACTGCTACTTGTTGCATTTAAAAAATGTCTTCATCCCAAGTTATTTTATTACACATTTGCTAACAGATGCATACAGCCATTTGTTCATTGTATAAACACTGTTTTACAGCCACAAAGAGTCGATTCTCTAGGACAAAGCATTTCATGATTCCCACTGAAGGGGATTCAAGTGTCACTCTTCTAGAATTGTTAATGTTACACTAATGGCAGATAGCTGCTTTTCCTTTGATCATGCTGACACCTTGGGTCCCTAAAGTGTTGTAATTAATGTCTGTTGCATGTGAGTTGGTAACACGCTGGCTATTATCCAGAGACAGGAGATTAAGCTATTTAATCCATTGTGGCTGTTTCTATGACAGTTTATTTACATGACTCTCTTGTGAGGAAGGGGACTGTGTTATTTTAAGTGTAACCCTGATTTAATTCGGAGCTGCAAAAGAATGGAGGTTTACTTAGAGATAGCTGGCTTCCCCAAGGCTGACAGGTACAACAGAAGATGTGAGAACTGGTGCTGATTAGTCCCCCAATTTCACTAAGGTTACAAATGTTCCCCGAAAACTTCATGAACCTTCCACTCCCACTACTTTTCAGTTGACATAGGTGCATTACTCTGTCTTTAATGGGTAGTCAATATTGGAGTGACACAACAGAAGACTGTTCCGTGTAGTATTCAATGCAGAGGTCTGGGAACTAGAGAAAATCTGCATTTACTATTCGGAGTCCCTCACTGAAAAAAACCCAATGTTAATTGCACAGTATGCTTTGGCTCCGTTATGCTCACATTTAGGTTTTTCTGTTTCATTCACAGAAACATTTCTACGTGGTAGCTGCTGCCAATCGTCTGAGAAGGTTTCCGAGCATGTCTGTCAACCTCGCATAAGCTGCTGTGGAAGAGCTATAAGCCTTAGAGCTAGAGATGAAGCAGAGAGAAAAGGACTAGATGTTTCTCTCTCTTCCACCACCACTTCTGCCATCCTCATGTGATGTATCAGGCGTGTGTTTAGGTACCAGAACTGCCTCAGAGCACAACAACATAGAACGAATTTTACTAATCTTTATAAAACAGGGGTTTCCATAGTTCTGTTTTACAAGCTCTCAGCTACTGGACATAGTGATACATAAATATTCCTGATATAACTCCACTTATAGCTATATTGATATGCTTATAATTAGCAGCTAAGTTCCTTGAGTGGGACCCACTTCTTTTGGAAGTCTTTGATTATTGATATGAATCCAAAGGGTGGAGTATAGCAGCAAGCACCTGGTCAGCAGCAGTGGGATACCTTAAGACTTTCTATGTTAATGAGGTGCTGTACGATCACTTTTAGGGCATTGCCACAGTGGTGATAGATTTGGAGGGATAATAGTGCTCTATTTTCCCCAAAGATAATTGTTACTTAAAGCAAAATACCCAGGGACAAAACTGAGGTAGAGAAATGCAGTTTTTCTACATTTTCTTCTGAAGGGGTTCATTTTTTTTCTGCCTCCCTCCCCCCACCCCCGTTTTTTTTTTTTAATTATTTTTTTCACCAAAGCATCACAATAATGCATGGCAACTAGTCAGAGTAGAAAGAAAAAGTGTCTTCCACCTTATCCTCTAAAACAAAACCTACTGCTTTCAGAGGCATTTAAAACCTGGCGCAAGTTAAGACAGATTGTCCCCTACTGCTATATTTTTATAATGGGTCAAACTGATTAAATAGCTCCTTGTGTTGGTATGAATTTAGGTTTAACTACCACAAATGAAAAACAATTGGGATGACAATCTGGTGGATGAAATACAGTGCAGTTAGGTGTCACCTCCTCCCCAGGAACAGAGGTTCTTTTATTCTCCCCTCTGGGTGTGAGTTTCAGGGGATACATTTTAAATATAGTTTTCTGTAGCTGGGACCTGAATGCTTAGTTTTCTAAGCTGATATTTGAGTTCAACACTTTTGCCAAATGCCATGAAGTGTAACAGAAAAACTACTGCTTTGTAACGGATGAACTGGTTTTTGTTTCTGTTCAGCTGCTGGGTAGGGGATCAGTGAATTGCCAGCCTTTGACTCTGTTTTAGTCACATGGGAGCTGTTGCCCTTTTTCTGATTGTTTAAAAACAAAAATAAGTTAATATTATCAAGAAAAAGGTTAATTTCAAGAACCAATTTTTTTTCTGATGCTTATAAAACTGGAGTCACCCCATATAACACAATCCCAGTACCAATTGTGTTTCCTTAGTGTTTATCAGGCACTTTGGTAGAGGTGGCTGACACACTGTTTCCTTTGTGGCTAACCTACAGGCTGCACCACTCTATGTGAGCTGATTAAAATAATTTATCACTAACAGTAGCAGCTTAAGTCTGCACATTCAGCCTAATCAAATCACAATTTTACTCCCATTAACTCTTTGCCTTTCAATTGCCTAAAATGTTTGTTGCTCCCAGCCCTCATCAAGACCTTAAAAATTGCTTACACTAGTTTAATGTTAAGCTTGTCTAGCTTTTCAGTTCTAGAACGTCTCCCTTCACTTCCAGATGGACTGGACTTGTACAGCACTTTTGGCATTATGTCAGAGGGCAACAAAAGTTACATGAAAAAATCCTGACAATGGATCACCTTCTGTGAAGGCCCAAGCTTGTTCACATTTCCCCTCCCCAGTGACATTGCATGGTAAATAGTTATTGTTAGTATGCATAGTTATGACATTAACACTAATAAATCTCAGCAAAAATGTAACTGGCCTATTTCTCTCTAGTCTGAAATACAGTAAAGGCAGCATTGGTGAGCACTTTACAACAGAATTTCAGCCTGCTACATCTGACTTTCGCCCAGAGTGTGGACCCTCCTTTGATATTATGAAATCTGATTTAGAAAAAAATTCTGGAATCTCATTTTACAGCTAGTCTTAGTGAGTTGAGACTGCTCAGTGTTTGCCCTGCTCCTCAGGCATTTGTCTGGCCTCTTCCTGAATCAACTTATTAAAATTTTAACTTGAACCAATCCCAAAACAAATGTAAGTTGACAGGAAGGAATGCTTCCACTTTTACGCTTAAATTTTTAAAATGGGGTGGAGCAGAGTGGGTGAAGAGAGAGAAAAGCAAACTTATCTCTTAAAAAGCTGGTCAATCAGCATCTCTTCTTCATTATCTTGTCTTTGTAAATGGATAATGGATGAATGCCCTTACTTATTCATGCTTAAGGCTCCAAGTCTGTCCCAGAGGTCACTGAGTCTGTGATTTTCCATGACCTCCATGACTTCTGCAGTAGTCAGTGCTGACCCTGGGCCAGCAGCAGTTTGGGTGTGTGGGAAGGGGTTCATGGCTAGAGGCAGGGGGATGCTTACTTCGGCGTGGAGTGTGGGTCCCCAGGTCCCACTGGCACGGCCCTGCAGCTCCTAGGCAGAGGGGTCAGGAGGCTCCGCGTGCTGTCCGTGCCCACAGGCCCCGCCCCTACCACTCCCATTGGCTGGGAACTGCGGAGCCAGTGCTTGTGGTGGAAGCAACTCATGGAGCCCTCTGGCCCCATCTGCTGCCTAGGAGCTGCAGGGACATGCAGAGCTGGGTAGGTAGCCCCTGCCAGCCTTGCCACCCCCAGCACCATTGGGGGTCCTGGGCCACCTCCCCCAGGGCCACTCCTACCCCCCAAGCACCCATGGCCCCCTGTTCAAGTTTTAGTCAGGGGTATATAGTAAAAGTCATGGACAGGTTATGCACAGTGAATTTTTGTTTACTGCCTGTGACCTGCCCATGACTTTTACTAAATGTACCTGTGACTAAAACGTAGCCTTATTCATGATATATGTTTTACGTGGATTGCAGGCTGCACCCTGTTCCTTGATGTTTAGTTTTTTCAATTGCCTATCTTAGGAGCAGACCTTAATTCTTAAAATGAAAGGCCCTTCAGAATATCCATCCCGCAGATGGTAGCAGGCCAGGCTTTCACAACTTGGAGAGTTGTCTCTCCTTCCCCCCCAATCTCCTGGGGTTAACCTCTCTGCAGAGCTCTTTCAATTTATTTAAAAAAACCCAGAAGTTTCTATAGAACCCCTTTTGGTTTCATCCTTATTACATCAGAGGGGACTTTTGTTCCACAGCCCCATACGGATGAATCAGTGGATTAAAAGAGACTTTGGCCCCTTTCCATAGCATAAAAGGGTCCTAAACACCCCCATTCCCAGCTTTGGGAGGACTCCCTTAGTGCAGGCTCTGGGAGGACAGCCCAAAAGCTCCCCCAGGAACACTGCTTCACAAGTGAAGTGTCAATGAACTGGCAGTGTTGGTGTGGGGCTGCAGCCCTCCAGCGCACTGCCATTCCTGGCAGTGCTGCAGCCTGTAAGGCAGTGGAGTGAGGGTGCCACACCTCAGACGGTGTACAAGGCTCTTTTAATTATGCTGGGGGCCCAGAGCAGCCTTTTATTAGGATGACCCAAAGGTGACTTAATGCAGGATTACCTACCCTGCCTCTGTAAATTCCATGCTGTGGCTCTGAAGGATGAGGTTCTGCGCTGGCTCTCTACTTGTTAACCTTGGAGATGGGCCTCTCATTTTAATTTCATATATGCATTATATTGTAACAGGCTAGTTGTGTCCTTTATACCAGGGCCCTGTGTGGAAATGTGGGGTGGCGAGAGGAGACTGAAACACAGGCGTTCACTTTATTGTACTAATTTCCACAGCTCTGTTACAATGGCTACTTCAACCTGAGTGCAGAACCACAGCTATCAGTCTATGGCAGCAGAGGAATGCCCAACTCCCTAAGGTGTATTGGCATCCAAGCACTATAGTCTTCTCAGCCTGTTCACAAAATAAAGTTTTGTACAAACGCTGACATTCAGTGCTTCCTGAAGGCAACTACAGTGACTCCTGCCCCACAAGTGTAGAGAGCGCAACCGTGGAACCTCTTTCTGCTTGGTGCAGCACTCCCCATTTGAACTCCTGGGGTAGGTGTCATCATGATGTCCACATGAATGGACTGGAAGTATGATTACTATCTTTATGCAGATGAGTTTATTCAGTTAGCTTTCCCAGACAAGACCCATGATTGTACTTTTGCTGCAGACAAATAGTCTTCACAACTTTTCCATAAACCTCATTTTCAATGTAAATAGTCAACGGCTGACCTTGTTTCCAACAGTGGAGGCACACAGCTGTGAAAATCCCACTGTCTTTTAGCCCAATGAATCGGAAATGTTCTGGCTTACCTGAAAGGGTCCTTTATTTGAGAAACAGAACCTAGTCAGATCCGCTCACCCTGGAGACAAACAGGTCACCCAGAGCAGAGATGGAAAGTGACATCCGAAGATTCGGGTTTATTTTTTCAGACGTTAACCCCATGCTCTGCCATAAAATAAACTTGTGTTTTCTCGTCAAAGTATAGTTAATCTAATGTAGGAGAAAAAAAATTGAATTATGCTGGCTGTGGAAGCGGTCTCAAGTGGAGCCAACGTCAGAGGATGGGGCATTCTCCTGCTGCCGCTGACTGGCAGGTTTGAAAATGGGGAAGAGATGGCCAGCCCTCTGTGGAGATAGAGGTGGTTAGGGACTTTTTAGAAAAGCTGGACGTGCACAAGTCCATGGGGCCGGACGAGTTGCATCCGAGAGTGCTGAAGGAACTGGCGGCTGTGATTGCAGAGCCATTGGCCATTATCTTTGAAAACTCGTGGCGAACCGGGGAAGTCCCGGATGACTGGAAAAAGGCTAATGTAGTGCCAATCTTTAAAAAAGGGAAGAAGGAGGATCCTGGGAACTACAGGCCAGTGAGCCTCACTTCAGTCCCTGGAAAAATCATGGAGCAGGTCCTCAAAGAATCAATCCTGAAGCACTTGCATGAGAGGAAAGTGATCAGGAACAGCCAGCATGGATTCACCAAGGGAAGGTCATGCCTGACTAATCTAATCGCCTTCTATGATGAGATTACTGGTTCTGTGGATGAAGGGAAAGCAGTGGATGTATTGTTTCTTGACTTTAGCAAAGCTTTTGACACGGTCTCCCACAGTATTCTTGTCAGCAAGTTAAGGAAGTATGGGCTGGATGAATGCACTACAAGGTGGGTAGAAAGCTGGCTAGATTGTCGGGCTCAACGGGTAGTGATCAATGGCTCCATGTCTAGTTGGCAGCTGGTATCAAGTGGTGTGCCCCAAGGGTCGGTCCTGGGGCCGGTTTTGTTCAATATCTTCATAAATGATCTGGAGGATGGTGTGGATTGCACTCTCAGCAAATTTGCGGATGATACTAAACTGGGAGGAGTGGTAGATACGCTGGAGGGGAGGGATAGGATACAGAGGGACCTAGACAAATTGGAGGATTGGGCCAAAAGAAATCTGATGAGGTTCAATAAGGATAAGTGCAGGGTCCTGCACTTAGGACGGAAGAACCCAATGCACAGCTACAGACTAGGGACCGAATGGCTAGGCAGCAGTTCTGCGGAAAAGGACCTAGGGGTGACAGTGGACGAGAAGCTGGATATGAGTCAGCAGTGTGCCCTTGTTGCCAAGAAGGCCAATGGCATTTTGGGATGTATAAGTAGGGGCATAGCGAGCAGATCGAGGGACGTGATCGTTCCCCTCTATTCGACATTGGTGAGGCCTCATCTGGAGTACTGTGTCCAGTTTTGGGCCCCACACTTCAAGAAGGATGTGGATAAATTGGAGAGAGTCCAGCGAAGGGCAACAAAAATGATTAGGGGTCTGGAACATATGAGTTATGAGGAGAGGCTGAGGGAGCTGGGATTGTTTAGCCTGCAGAAGAGAAGAATGAGGGGGGATTTGATAGCTGTTTTCAACTACCTGAAAGGGGGTTCCAAAGAGGATGGCTCTAGACTGTTCTCAATGGTATCAGATGACAGAACGAGGAGTAATGGTCTCAAGTTACAGTGGGGGAGGTTTAGATTGGATATTAGGAAAAACTTTTTCACTATGAGGGTGGTGAAACACTGGAATGCGTTACCTAGGGAGGTGGTAGAATCTCCTTCCTTAGAGGTTTTTAAGGTCAGGCTTGACAAAGCCCTGGCTGGGATGATTTAACTGGGAATTGGTCCTGCTTTGAGCAGGGGGTTGGACTAGATGACCTTCTGGGGTCCCTTCCAACCCTTATATTCTATGATTCTATGATTCTGTTCCCAAGCTGCAAGCAGACTGAAGTACCTCTTATCACAGATCTGTAGACCTTATTACTTGACGTAAAGGAACATTTAAAGTAAGTACAGAAAGTTTCTTTAAACCCATTTAGATTTTGATCCTGATGGTATTTATACTATAAAAGTGATAGGAGGTCACAGAAGCAACCCTAGGACCATATACAAATTCTTAAACTAAAGATCCAGACGTAGAAAAAAGAATCTTTATTGCTTTCTAAAAGCATTTAGGTCCCACATACACAGCAGAAAATTTATTTAATCAGATATTATGGCTATAAAAAAGTTTTAACAGTCTCAATTCCTCAGTTTTGTTTTGCCGATGACACAAATTGTTTCCTCATGGACGGACCCTTTCCATATAGCTTAGTAACCATGACTTAAGCTTCAATGTGGAATACAAGAGTGTGCAACCTTCTCAGAGATCACTTAATACCGCACCATTATTTGGCCTGTTTGTTGCTTAAAAGTAGCAAGGCTATCCATGTCCTAGAGCTGAGGTCTGCACTGGTCCGAGGGGAAGGCATCACAGGGTCAATTTTCAAACTTTGGCCAACTGTGTAGTAATAGCGTGTCACAATAATGCTGGTCCCACTTAGTAAAATGACAGGCTTAACAATTTAAAATCTTGCCAGTCAAATAAATAAGAATTGCTGGTTACCATCCATAAATTCACTTGCTACCAAGTTGCACTAGTGTGAAGGGGGATTTAAAATTATAAACCAGAGGCAGTGACAGTGTTTGGTGGCACTCCAGAGACTGAAGTCAGACATTGGCCCCTTTTGCCTTAGTAGCATTTTCCAGGATTCTCTGTTTCCATTCTTCATAATCTTGTTTTGCTTCGGTTTCACTTTTCTGCCGCTTGCGAGGGGTCTCAACTTCATCCTCATGTTCTATGGGAGCAAAAAAACCCCAAAAAACTTTCAGGAAACGCTATCTATCATGCATAATATTTTGCCTACAGAGAGCGCCTAATGCTGAGTCTCAGGCCCCTGGAATGTACACATGCCAGTCTACTTCATGCACACAAAGACTACCATCAATCATTGGGGAAAAAAAATCAGTGTTTTGTTTAACACTGTGACCTTCACGTATTTGTCTTTTTGTTTGAGTGGAAAAGGCTACCCTAGTTCCACTAGACTTGCTCCACAAAAACGTAATGGTGCTTCCACGAGGCCAGTGATGCCCAAACTTTTCCTCTAGTGCCCACCCCCACCCCCGCCCCCCCGCTTACCAGTAATGGAATCTGTCCGCGCCATAGGCGCTGACTCCATGGGTACTCCAGGGTTGGAGCACCCGTGGAAAAAAATTAATAGGTGCTTAGCACTCACCAGCAGCCAGCTTCCCCCCTTCCCACCCCAGCGCCTCCCATCTGCCGGCGGCCCTATGGATAGACTCAACCCCCCCAGTGCCTCCCGCCTGCCACAATCAGCTGTTCCACATCATGCAGGAGGCGCTGTGGGGGAGAGGGAGGAGTGGGGACAGGATGCGCTTGGGGGGAAGGGGTGGAACTGGACAGGAAGAGGTGGGGCGGGTGAGACCAGGTGGGGTGGGGGCTTGGAAGAAGAGATGAGGTGGGGGCGGGCCTGGTAAGAGGCGGGGCAGGCTTGGGGGAAGGGGTCGGGTGGATGTGGGGCCTGGGGTGGAGCGGGATGTTGAGCACCCCCAGGGCCCGGAGAAAGCCGGCGCCTGTGGTCCGTGTCCCCCCTCCATTGCTGCACACCCAAGACTTCCTGAGCAGTGGAGCTTGGGCTTAAGGCAGAGCTGGGGATAGAGGCGGGGCTGGGCTGGGATAGAAAGGGAATGAGGGCAGAGCGGGGCTGGGCTGCGGGGCAGAGCAGAGTTGTGGCTGGGGGCAGAGCTGCGCTGGGGGTGGAGTTACAACTGGGTTGTGTGTGTGTGTGCGGGGGAGGGCAGAGTGTGCTCCAAATAGGGTCGGAGCTGGGCTGGGGGTCGGAGCTGTGGCAGGGGTGGAGTGGGACTGGGTGGTCCTCCCCCGGAGGCTGGCTCAGGCTCTGCTGCGCAGTACCCTGAATGTTCCTTCATGACCCAATAGGGGTCATGTCCCACTTCACTAGGCTCTCTTAGCATTTCCAACATCTGGCCATTATTAGGCAACAGCAGAAGAACAAAGCTTAATTTCACAATTAGGAGACAACTTACCTTCTTCCTTTTCAATGCATTCAAGCAAAGTCTTTTGGCTTTGGGTTGGCTGAGGTGTCAGTGAAGCACAGTCTCCTATTAAAGAAGAGAAAGCTGCTTTTATTTATTTAATTGTGGACAGTCATTGGGGTACTAGAGCACCTAATGATTCACATTCATGCCATACTTATGTACCCTCCCCCCCTTTAACTTTGCTGATAACTCTGGCAGGACCCTCCCTTGCTTCTGATTTCTCCATCACCTTAATCAATGTATTTCTATTACAGTAGCACCTGCAATGTGCTGGGTGCAAGCCACACACACAAGAACAGTGTCTTCCCTGGCAAACTTCCCAGCTGAAAGTGGCATCAACAATCCCTGTTTCAGCAATGGGCTAATTTCTTGTAGGAGCAGCCACAGATATGGGTCTTGAAGGGGTTTTCAAGGAGGAGAGGGCAATGGCTTTATGGATAAGTTCAAGTGGGACATTCTCTGCATGATGAGCATTATGGTAGGAGGTGCAATGACAGGGGATGGGGGCTGAGGGTGCCAATGGTGGAGTACGAGGAAAAAGTGCACAAATCGTGATGGGGCAGAGTTGTACAAGGAAGGTGAGGACATCGACTTGGTGACTGGAGAGGGACAAGACAGAGGGATTGTAACAGGGGCTCTGTGACAAGTACGGAAGATGATCTTCGCAGCTGCACTATACGAAATGGAGTGGGACTACAGGAGCGTCAGTCAGAGGTGGCAGCTGCACTACTAAAGGCAGGAGAAGAGCAGGACCTAGAAGAGAGTTTTAGCTGTGTGGCAGTAAAGAAAAGGCCAGAACTTGATCTATTGCAGAGGAAGAGCTGTAAGTTTTGTATTGCTCCATGTGTGGGGTAAGCACCATGGAGGAGTCAGACATGGCTCCTGCGTTATGTGAGTTAGATGACAGACTGACATGACATCCCTGAGGAACAAGACAGGCAGTGATCAGAAAGTGAATTGAAGGAGACAAGTTAGGAGTGGACAGACAAGCTGGCACCAAAAGAATAGTTGAAATTATAGGAGCAGAGGAGATCACCCCAAGAAAGGGTGCAGAGAGAGAAGGATGTTGCCCTGTGGGACCCAACAGCATGGCTACATCACCTGCGTTCCAGACCATGAGACTGCAAGCACTGAACACTTACTGCTGATCTGCTGGCCAATTGTCTCCAGCTGGCTGCAGAGCCGATCAAATATTGCCTTCTTCACCCCAGAGGTATCCACCATTTTCTTCTTATCCACTTTTAGTTTCAAGCACCTAAAACAGGAAGTTAGTTTATTTTCTGAAGGAAGCAACATTCAAACACACATAACTCAGGTCAATGAATGCATTTATAGGCAGCGCTGCCTGGGAGAATAAGCAGAAGGCTGGGGCCTGGAATTCCAAAATTCTAATCCAACTTGGCTACTGACTCACTTTGTGACCTTGCTCAAGGGACTTCCTCCCTGCCTCAGTTTCTCCATCTGCAAAGAAGGAGATAAGCCATATCCATCTGCCATACAGGGAAGTTGTGATGATCAGTTAATCCTAACAGTATGTAACAATTTGGAACAGGAAGTGAAAAATTTCACACCTTGTTGAAATTACAGGGGGAAATTTAAACAGGAAGAAAGTAGTTCTACGAGTTGTAATTTGGCCAGGACACTGGGTAAACAATCCTACTCCTGCAATGAGTCAAATGGGACTTTCACCCCAGTAGACAGGTGCTCATTTTTAAAGCTCATCTGATGAACTGTACAACACCCCTAAAGCCAGACTGGTTCATAAGATTTCTAACATGTATAACTCTTGGCTTGGGAGAAGATTCATGTTCAGTAAAAGTCCATGTGGGTTTTCTTGAGTCATCGTCTGCTGGACACTAACTTGCAGGCTGTTGCAGCTCTCTCTTTAGAGGGCTCCATGTCTCAAAGGCAAGATTGCCTGCAGGGGTAGGGGAGGCGGAGAAACAGATGACTATTTGGAGCTTGGTTTCAGAGTGGTAGCCGTGTTAGTCTGTATCAGCAAAAATAACGAGGCGTCCTTGTGGCACCTTAGAGACTAACAAATTTATTTGGGTATAAATAAATTTATTAGTCTCTAAGGTGCCACAAGGACTCCTCGTTATTTTTATTTGGAGCTTGTCAGTCTTTAGCCTTTCTGCAATGGCTCCCAATTTGAATGCAAAACATCATCTCACTACCACTGCACATTCCACAAACATCTTTGTTGGTAATATGACCAACTCAAATACACTCTAGTCCATCTTGGCAAATAAACAAGCTTCCCACCAAATGCAAGATATTAACTAGTAACATTCTTATGTTGACAGGTTTCAGAGTGGTAGCCATGTTAGTCTGTATCAGCAAAAAGAACGAGGAGTACTTGTGGCACCTTAGAGACTAACAAATTTATTAGGGCATAAGCTTTTGTGGGCTAAAACCCACTTCACTGGATGCATGCAGTGGAAAATACAGTAGGAAGATATTATATATACATACATACATACATACACACAGAGAACATGAAAAATGGGTGTTGCCATACCAACTCTAACGACACTCATCAATCAAGGTGGGCTATTACCAGCATGAGAAAAAAAAACTTTTGTAGTGGTAATCAGGATGGCCCATTTCAAACAGTTGACAAGAAGGTGTGAGTAATAGTAGGGGAAAAATTAACATGGGGAAAGGTTTGATAGAAGGTCAAACACACCCAACAGATGATCTTCAGATGACTGTCACATTACAGAATCATCCATCCATTGATACTTTAAATACCAGTGGCAACATTTATTATAAAATCATGTGATTTGCCTTTGGGCTACAAGACTACGTGTTTGATTTAATGTTTTCTTTCTCCAAGGCAAAACACAATCTAGGCTGAATACTTTGCTACAAGGAAGACATTAGCCTCAGCAGGCTGTCAAGACTATCTGCGGTTCTGAGAGTAGCGCTACAAGATACATTTAACCACCTAATGGTGCTTCAGGATATTAAGGAATTCTGGGGACTGGAGCAGCTGTTTGCATTGTAACAGCCACTTCACACTTGTGAAATCTTTCATCATCATGTACAGCATGCCTGTGTTGCGGGGAAATCCAAGAATGTGATTTTGTGCTCTCGCAGTTAGAATAATGGGGAATCTCATGTAACTGTATGAAGAGCATACCTGCAGGCTGTGAACAATGCAGCTGTTGTGAACAAGGGTTTTGATAAATCAAGATCCATCTGCTGCATTTCAGAGAGACTGGATTCATACCTAAAAGAGAGCAGCGGTGTTTACTACACAGCCAGTTTGCTTCTAAACAAAGCTTGTGAAGTTTATTACTTTGGAGCTGAACAAAGACCTGGTACAAGATTGCTTAGTTCTTTGTCTCAGCCAGGGACAAACATTTTCTACTCCTGGCTGAGAACAGAAGAAAGGAGCAAAGAGGGGAAAGGGATGGCAGCACATCCTGAGATACGGGGGGTGGGAGGTGTGATATTTATTTCAGATCAAGAAATCAGGCAGAGGGGACAAGGTGGAGTCAGCACAGTCTCTATTCTACCTACTCACCACACTCAATGGAACCTAGTATTTAACATCTATAAATTATCTCTAAAAAATGTGATAAGCCACTTTGGATTCAATTCATCCCAGTGCAGAGGGCCAGCCCATAGTTCTTGTAACCATTTAATCCCCACTTAATATAGGGCTTAAGCATGGCAGAAGGCTTTGCGGGTTCTCAGCACAGAGGTGAATTTCATTCTCCGAGTATTATGAAACAGCCAACAGACCATTTATTTCAGTCTATTGTTGTCAGACTGACAGGTGTATTGTTTATACAAGGAAACATCTACAGGTAAGTTTCAATCGCCTTAATCTTTAAATATGATGCAGCCATGAAGAGTGTCAGCTACATAAGTGAAGACTGTTCTTTGCAGCCCAGGATTCATAGATTCTAAGCCCAAAGGGATCATTATGTTCATCTAGTCAGATATTCTTTTACGCAGCTCATAAAACTTCCCCAAAATAATTCCTGGAGCAGATCTTTTAGGAAAACATCCAATCTGATTTAAAAGTTGCCATGACCCTTGCTAAATTGTGTAGATCGTTAATAATCTCAGTTTAAAAAATATGCCTTATTTACCTACTAAATTTGTCTAGCTTCAACTTCCAGCCACTGGATTGTGCTGTCTTTCTCTGCTAGATGGATAAACCCACCATTAAATATTTCTTCCCCATGTAGGTGCTAATACTGTAATCAAGATACCCCTTAACCTTCTTTTGCTAAGCTAAATAGATGGATTTCCTTGTGCTTGTCACTAGAAGGCAGGTTTTCTAATCCTTTCATCATTCTTGTCGCTGTTCTTTGAACTCTCTCCAAGTTTTCAACATCTTTCTTGAATTGTGGGCACTAGAACTGGACAGTAGCATCTATACCACTGCCAAATACAGAGGTAAAATATCCTCTCTATTCGTACTTGACATTCCTGTTTAAGCATCCAAGGATTGAATTAGCCCTTTTGGCCACAGTGTCACACTGGGAGCTCAGGTTCAGTTGATTATCCACAACGACCACCCTGTCAGACCAAATATTTATTGAACACTTCTGCCTTTTCTGCATTATTATTGATAATTCTACCATTTCCATTTAGCAATGTACCAACCCCACTGTCAGGATTTTTTTGTTCCTACTTTTTGTTCCCCCTTAAGTCTGCTGGCCATAGATGTCTCCTTATGTCCCTTTGCTTCCTTGATTAATTTTCTATAGTTCTATCTTCTAATTGATAGCCATTATTACTGGCTTCCCCTTTCTTCCATTTTTTGTTGTTGTTGTCATTGGTTTTTTGTAATTTCCTGTTAAACAATTGCTTTTGTTAAAGTGGATATTACACAGAGGAGAGGGTTTTAAGTGAAGGGACTCTCAACTTTGTGAAGTTTTCTTATTCAACAGTTTTGACCAAGAAAACGTAGGATTCATTTTGGAATGGATACATTTCTCTCAACATGTAGTTTCTTTCATTTGTATGTATCTTCTGGAACTGCAAGGTTGACGGAGAAAGGGCTACAGGTAGGGTTAAATGAGAGGAAGTGTGGGGCTGTGGATAGGAAATTGGACTGGGAGTCAGGAGTCCTGCAGTCTCTTCCCAAATGGTCTAAATTTTTCAAACATAGGTTCCTAAATAAGTGGTCTAATTTTCAGAGGTGCTGACCACTCAACATTCACTGAGATCAGTGGGAGCTGCAGGTGCTCAGTACCTCTGAAAATCAGGCTTTTCACACTTAAAGAGTAGTCTTATTTAAAAACAAAGAAAGCATTTCCATTTCTTAATAGAAATGGATGATAAAATGATGGCCATAAAAGGTTATGTGCCCTACCTTTGTAATATTTTTGAAGCGGTGTTCACTGCCTCCATGCAGCAGAACTGTACAGCCAAATCTCGGATTCCCAGATTAGAGTTCAAACCTAGCAAACACTCAAAAGACTTCAGACAGCTCTGGTAAGTCCTCTTGTTCAAACCGGAGAGTTTAACTAAGTAGCTCTTTGAAAAACAAAACAAAACTTCATGTGTAAGCAGAATTTCCCTTCTGGTACTTAACCCATCTAAATAGAATAGAATACAATCCATCTTCTATTTTTGTTTTAAATAGTTTTGTTGTTGTTTGCTCATTGTTTGGTTAGATCTGTTACACACGTGAGGCTACCCTATGAAGAGGAAAAAAATACACAATGGCAAAGGAACAACACACATTTCAATGCAGAGTTACCTTCAGATAGTTATACCGGTGCTGCAGTTTGGAAAATGATTTGGCCCTTTTAACTGCCTTTTAGAGAACTAAGATACCAGGATCACTGAGCATTTGTATGACGGGTCAGTGCTACTCATGGGAATCTAGGCAATGGAAACCTCTCCCATGTATGGAGGAGGAATCTAAAAAAGATTACATGGACAATCAGCTATGTCTTTTGTCCCCACCATCACCGAAAAAAAAAAAGACAGTTGTCTTGCCTGGCAGTCCTGCAAATGGACATCCACAGGCTTCCACGGGGCAGAGGGACTCATATGTAGCCACTGTTTCCTTTTGGTAGCTTTAAGAGCCCCCTTGCATCACTTCTCACAATAAAGGGGCACATCGGCTTACGGTTTACCACCCTTAAGGAACCCTCAGTCAGGGGCAGTAGAAGTCAATTCACAACAGAATGTAATGGAGACTCTAGTCTTCAATTCTCCATTGTTAACCTCTGATGAAAACTGGAATAGTACTGGATTGTTGGAAGGACCCAGTTGCAGACTGGTCTGTAATGTGAGGAAATGGGAATTTACTAGTCTTTCCTTGCTGCCTCATCATATACACTAAACACTGTACAAGTTTTATGGGAGTTGGTAAGAGTTAGGACGAACAAAGAACCATGTCACGTATTGTGTCCTACTTTGTCCACTGGGTGTTGCATATAGCCAGCTGCTAGGTCCAGGCACATCACCGCATTGCTTGTTGCTGTCATCTGAGCCAATAATCCTGTGCACTTCACCTGGGACAGTCGCAGATATTCTTCTGCTTTTCTATAAAATAGCCCCACATGAGCACACACACGCACAAAATGCCATTCGTTAATACTGCTGAGGATACAGACTGGTGGCATTTACATCTGCAGGAATGCAAACATACATACCCAGGACTGGCTGCTTTAAATCAAAATAAAAAAAGATTACGAAAAATAGGACGTCAGTTAAATAAACCTGGAAGCACTGGCAGGCTGATTTGCATAACTGTGTATGCACTGTAGCGTGTTGTAGCCTACAGAAATGTCAGTCAAATAGTAGTTAAAAGGAATTCAAAGTAATTTTGAGTAGTGTTAAAAGTAATTTACCTTTTTCCCTGGATTAGGCACTGAAGAGAAGTTAAGAGATTGGATTTAGTTGCAGGTGTTAGTGATGTTCAACTATTACATCTATTATAATTCACACCTTTAGTTATTTCAGGGCCAGTCTATGCATGAACTCTCTCATTTCAAATTTAATTTAATTTAAGGTGTGAATTAAAACCAATGTAGTTATTTCAGTTCAAGTCTGTGATTAGGCCAGCTATAAGAGACAAGTGCGTCCCTATAAGAGGTTTAAAAAGGCAGCAGAGTTTAAGTGGATAATGGGAAGAATCATTTAGGCCAAGGGTCTTCTCTGTACAAGATTCTGCTTTTTTGCATTAAGGTGTCCCACCATTGCTCTTATAGGTGAGGCTTAGCAATGACAGGAATCCTAGCACAGATCTGCTTGCAAGTATTTTAACCAATGTGGTCCCAATACTGCAACAGGCTTACCACAAGCATACTCCTTCCTGCACTCACACGGAGCCCTACCACAATGGATTGATTTAGATCACAAATTTTTAAATCATATTTGTATTTGTACTTTAGTTATTTTCCTAAAGAAAGTTGATTCTCAATGGTTGGTAACCATTAAAACATGTTGATTTGCAACTAAATACAGCCTTCACATTAAATTTGGTACTTCTTTTTGCTAACCGGGAGGATTCACTATATCTATATGCATTTATTTAAGCAATTATAGAGCTTAATTTTTACATTTATTATGTCAGAAAATGGTGAATGATGCATTTCTTATTTACTAGATGATACATTTTTACTTGTGATTGTGTCAAGTTCTATTTGGATGGAAATTCAATACAATTAAAAATGCACAAACCCAGCATTTTACATGTTTTTATTAAATAAAACTACCGTAAGTGTTCAGGACACAACGAAATTTTTCATCAAAACTGTTTTGCATTGAAAACTTATTTATTAAATAAAGGAAGAACTATCTGTAGTTAATGAATTAAACTGATTGTTTCTGGTCACTATGTCCTTCAAGATTTTAGAACTAGATCTTATCCTCCCGCCTTGTTTTTATTCATAGATTGGAAAAGAAAAGGTTCCTTAACTTTCAATGAACTCATCGTTGAACTGACCTAGTTCAATAAACTGAAATGAAGAAAACAGAGACTACAGCTGTCAAAAGTTGGTTTAGCACTTCAATAAACTCCCATTCCACGTGCTTAGCCAGTAGCTTCCATCAGTTCAGCACTATGATTTTCTGTAAAACTTGGTACCAAACATTCTTTCACAGGTGTCTAGCTGGGTCTTGCCGACATGCTCAGGGTCTAACTGATCGCCACATTTGGGGTCAGAAAGGAATTTCCCCCAGGGGTGAGATAGGCAAAAGGAATCCCACGGTTTTTCTGCCATTCTCTACAGCCTGGAGTCTGGGTCACTTGCAGGTTTAAACTAGTGTAAATGGTGGATTCTCTGTAACATGAAGTCTTTAAACAGTGATTTGAGGACTTTAGTAACTCAGCCAGAGGCTAGTGGTCCCTTATATGAGTGGGTGGATGAAGTTTTGTGGCCTGTTTAAGTGCAGACATAACCTAAGTTGCGTTTATCATCACAGTAGCCAGGGCCATCCCTAGGGGGGTGCAGGGCACAGGACAAATCAGCATAGGGGTGGGAACTAGGTGTGCATAGGGTGCTGCAGCACCCCCAGGATCCCAGCTGCCAGCCTCACACGCCTGGGGCTCTGCTCCCTGCCTCAGCTGGAGGGTGGTGGTGGTGGATGGCTTTCAGCACCGCCACTATTAAAAATGTTCTAGCACCACTGCAAATCCACCCCCGCAGGCTTGGGGGCCCCACTCTGCATCAGCAGCTTGTATGGCAGGACGGATCCGGCCTGGTGCTGGGCCACCTGCTGCTGCTGGCAGTTGCCGGTGCCTACTGCGGAGCTATTGTTGGCCATAGCGGCTCAGGGCTCTGGCCGGAACTGGGAATTTGCTGCACCTTGTCTTCTGTGACTGATTGCGCCGGCCAATCGCAGGGGGCCCCCCAAAGTGCAGGGCCCGGAGCTGTTGTCCCGATTCGCCCTACCCAAGGGACAGCTCTGATAGTAGCATACTTCCTCCTCATTCTTACATGTTCTGAGCAGTGAGATATTTTAAATTTCAACAGTTAATTAGTTATTAGTATCTGAGTTAGCACCCACTGAAATAAGTGGGGCAGTTGACACATCAGAGCTATAAATGTCAGGCTCCCTACAAACTCAGTCACACATTATTATTTATCTTGTACACTGTATAGTTACATCCAGGTTATGGTTTTTTTACAACCATAACAGCAAAGAACTATGACTTCTCTACATGGGGAAATTGACTGGAATAGCTTTCTGTGTGGACACATTATTCCAGAATAGTTGGTGCACTTTGAGCATACTAATTATTCTGGAATAAAGTGACATATCCAGGAATCGCATCTCTGCACAAGGAGCTTTATGGAAATAGCCTAGAGGATAGGGCCCTGGACTGGGACTCAGGATACCTGGATTCTGTTCCAGTTTAGCCTCTGTGTGTGCATGTGTAAATGACTCTGATTTAGTTCCTCCATCTGTAACATGGAGATATTGACCTTTATAAAGTGTTTTGAGATCTACTAATGAAAAGTGCTATTTAAAAGCTAGTTGCTGGGCTTGGAAGGATTACATTTTTACTGGTAAACATTGATTCCACTCAGGGTGGATAAAAATCAATGTTTTTCTTTTTACTAAGTAAAAATCCACTCTGATTTCACTGTACACATACAAACTGACCAAACAAATTTCCATCAACAATCAAACTTTACAGATAGCATATGAAAAATGCTGCTTGAGAACTTAAGTTTGATTTAAGAAGATTACTTCGTATATTTTGACCTGTGATGCTGACAATTTGTGTTTCAATGGTTACCAAGCTTTAAGTTTTTGAATCAACTTCTACTGCCATTGTTTGTCTGACCCCAGCATAATTTCCTGCAACTGTGAAAATTTAAATAATCTAAAACAAAATTAAAAACCCATAATTTTCTGCAATTGAGACAATCTGAACTGATAAAAAAAATGCGTATAAATAAACCAGCGATTGCTGAAGCGATAACTACAAATCGAATTCTGCCAAGCCTAATTACAGTGTAAACGCTCCGGGCGATCATCCCCTCTATTATTTAACAGCAAAGAGATGCTCGCATGGCTCCCGTCGGACCCAAGGTGCTGCCCGTCACACAGGGATCCTGCCACCCACCATCACAACGCCGCCACCGCCGGGGCGCGAACCCACCCCTCATGCCCACGGGGCGCGAGGGGGCAGGAGACCACTGCGAGCGGCCGGATCCGGGCCCCAGGGAAATGGGCCCCGAGCCCCCACTCCCGTCTAGGACATCCCGGCGGCTCCGGGGACGGGTCCCATCCGGCCCCGCCGAGGCGCTGGGGCTGCCCCGGCCGGGCACTGGGGAGCGTGTCCCGCGCCCGCTACCTGAGAACTCCGGGCGCAGCGATGCCCAGTTTGGGCGCCAGCCGCTGGATCACTCCGGGCTCCTCCATGGGCCGCATTTCCCCGCGCGCGCCGCTCGCCACAATTGGCCCTGCCCCTTCCGCACACCGGCTCCTGTCCTGAGGGCGTGACGTGCACTACAGGCGGGGGAGGTGAGCCGCCACCTTGGCGGGGCGTATTTCTGAAACTCATTGGCTATCCCGAGCGTCAATCGTGGCTCACTAGAACCAATCAGCCTTGACACCTTGACTTCCTCGGAGTCGGCCAATGAAGAGGGGTCGCTGTTGCAGGGAGGCGGGGCTTCGAGGAGGCTGTGGAGTCACATGACAGAGAGACGCTGTCTGGGCTGGTGCTGGCCGCGGGGCTTCGAGCGATCATGGTGAGCGGGGCTGGCCTGCGGGCTAGAGCTTGGAGGGCGGCGGCGGAGGCGGCGGCTTGGGGCTCAGGGCTCAGGCAGGCTGGGAGCTGCCTTGGCCTGCGGCTGGAGGCGGGCGGGGGCTGCAGCCCTGCCGGGGGGAGGGGGTTGGCCTTGCTGCGCTGGGGTGAGGGGCAGGCCTGGCTCTCGGAGGGGGAGAGAGGCAGCCTCGTCCGCGTTCCCCCTGTTGCCCTGGAGGGGTCTGTGCCGGCAGGAGTGGGGTCGGGGCGGTTCCTGGGCGTGGGCGGTCTGTGCCCGCGTGCCCTGGGCAGGAACAAGTGCAGTACCACGCTATCCTTGCTCGGGCCACCCGGGCTTGGCAAACCTAGCAAGGTCTAGCTTTAAAACCAGCCCGCCTCTGCCATCATGTCACTGTTGTGTTAAGTGGTTCCTTCCCTCCTCCAGTGCTCTACTCAGTCTGAGGCTGATGACTGTGAATCCACTTCTGTGGAGGCTGAGATCTTTTTTATATACTTTGAATGAGGTGGGAAAATCCCTGTTTGTTTTTTTTTTTGTTAAGGCTGAAATTCCTTTAGCTTGGTGCTACTGGGTCTGGTCCAGTTGAGCGCTCTGTTATGTTGTTGTGGCTCTGCAGTGACTCCATTGAAAATGCAGTGGCTGGCTTTGACGCTGATATTTTGAGGAGAAAATCTGGCCTGTGACTTCTTTGTCTGCCTAGCTGTGAAATGGGCAGAAGAATGTTTGCCTTCTTCCCTGGGGCTCATTTATGCTTATAAACCTCTCAGAGATTCTTGACTAAAATGTGAGTTGTTAGTGCAAATTAGAACTGTTAATCCACTAGTAGAGAAATACCTAGTATCATTAAATTTCACAACTAAATATTTGACTATACATGGGATGTATATATTTTATCATAGCAGTGCCTTAATAATGCTTTTGTGGTTAAAGTTTAAGTGCAATTTGCCAATAGCAGGAGTGGCACAGTAAAAGTATTAGTAATACCAAAGCTACGGTTAGGATGGCTTTACTGTCCCCACTCCAATGTGCTGTCTACAGTCACTCATAATATTCCATAGTTTTCATCTTTCAGGCTGATTGTTTCCGGTCTGGGTCTCTGACTAAAACTGAATTTTCTTTTGGGTAGTTTGAACAAAAACAGTTCACTAATTGGAGCACATGTACAGTGAAAATATTTTGATAGGTTTGTTCTTGTTTTCAAACAGCCATACTGTTGAAGTGGGTGAGGAGACAAACTTGAAATTTGGCATGGAGATAGCATTCATCGGGTAGCATCTTATTTTCAGTGGACTTGAAAGTTGTGATGTGCTTAAAATTGTATATGCTCAGTATGTTTTGCATTGTGTATTATTGCTAAGCTTGTAACGTACAGTTAAGGCAGGAAGCACTGCACATTCAGGTGTTGACTAACTTTGCTATGGAATGAAAAAACTAGTGGTAGTGTTCAGTGAATGAGGTAAAGAGCTTGTCTTATTTGCTGCACATCTTATAAAGTAAAAGCTACATAGCTCTGAAACTTTGCAGGAGAAAAAGGACTCCCACAGACTTCCTAAGATATGTAGGGCAGGAACCCTATGGTAAATCAAGGTGTATGGGTACATTTCATTTGAAACATGCTTAGAGGTCTTGGGGTTGTGTGGCTAAGCATTCCAGTCAGGCAGTGACAAGATACAAGTTCAATGTGTAGCCTTATCTCCCTCTACAAATACATTTTGTGGTAGTTGTTAACTAAATGATCACATAACTTTTTACAACCTTTGTTATATATTTAGTACTTAGATCAGATGTTCATCCAGTCAAGTATCCTATTTTTATAGTAGCCAACTGACACCAGAGGCTTCAGAGGAAGGCGTAAGAACTCTGCAGTGAGCAGATAGGGATAATCTGCTCCCCTTTAAGGTCCCTAATAGAGACTGGTTTAAGCCAGTGGTTCTCAACCTGTGGCCCAGTCAGCACAGAGCTGCGACCCATGTGACATCCTTAGAGCCATACAGGTAGTATTGGATGTGGCCAACAATGGTAAGTAAGTTGAGAACCACTGGCTTAAGCCTTGAAGTATAAGGTTTAATATCTCTTCAGTAAAATTGTATTAACTGTGGATATTCTTCATATCCAAATAAATGGTCAGTCCCTTTTGAATCTTGTTCACTTCTTGGCATCAATGACTTCCTGTGGCAGTGAATGCCACAATTTAATTACATGTGTGAAAAAAGTATTTCCTTATACTGTTTTTGAATTTCTCTCCTTCCCTCATTGAATGTTCTGTTGCGTTACGAGATGTACCTTCTCTGGACCATTCAGTAATTCATCATACTTTCTACTAGTCCACTTTATGCCAAACAGTCTGCTAAATTTCGAGTACACTGCAAATTGTTCTTAGACCTCATCTGAGGTCCCTCACCAAAGGCTCTTAAGCACAGTAACCTGTCATGGCATAGGAGGGAAGGTCCTCTCATGGATTGGTAACTGGTTAAAAGATAAGAAACAAAGTATTGGAATAAATGGTCAGTTTTCATAATGTAAAAAGGTAAATAGAGGTGTCCACCAGGGGTCTGTACTAGGACCAGTCCTATTCAACATACTCCTAAATGATTTGGGAAAAGGGGTAAACAGTGAGGTGGCAATTTGCAGACGGTACAAAACTACTTAAGATAAGTCCAAGCAGACTGCGAAGAGCTACAAAAGGATCTCTGAAAACTGGGTCACTGGGCAACAAAATGGCAGATGAAATTCAATGTTGATAAATGCAAAGTAATGCACATTGGAAAACATAATCACAACTATACATATAAAATGATGGGGTCTAAATGAGCTGTTACCACTCAAGAAAAAGATCTTAGTCATTGTGGATAGTTTTCTGGAAATATCCACTCAACATGCAGTGGCAGTCAAAAAAGCTAACATAATGTTTGGCATAGTTACTAAAGGGATAGATAATAAGACAGAAAATATCCTATTGCCTCTAAATAAATCCATGATACGCCCACATCTTGAATGCTGCGTGCAAATGTGGTTGTCCCATCTCAAAAAAGATACATTGGTTTTGGAAAAGGTTCAGAAAAAGGCAACAAAAATGATTTGGAGTATGGAATGGCTTCTGTATGAGGAGAGATTATTAAGATGGGCTTTTCAGCTTAGAAAAGAGACTACTGGGGGGTTATGAGAGAGGTCTATAAAATCATGACTGGTGTGGAGAAAGTAAATAAGGAAGTGCTATTTACTCCTTCTCATAACACAAGAACTAGAGTTCATCAAATGAAATTAATAGGCAGCATGTTTAAAACAAACAAAAGGAAGTATTTCTTCACGCAATGCACGGTCAACCTGTGGAACTCTTTGACAGAGGATGTTGTGAAGGCCAGGGCTATAACAGGGTTCAAAAAAGAACTAGATAAATTCATGGAGGATAGGTCCATCAATGCCTATTAGCCAGGATGGGCAGAGATGGTGTCTCTAGCCTCTGTTTGCCAGCAGCTGGGAATGGATCACTTGAGGATTACCTGTAAATTCCATCTGGTGCACCTGGCATTGGTCACTCTCAGAAGACAGGATACTGGGCTAGATGGACCTTTGTTCTGACCCAATATGGCCACTTTTATGTTCTATCTGTAGTCTGTTGTGTAACACTTTATAATGGTATATGGCATTCACTATCCAAACTAGTTCTGTAGCTTATTGTTTGATCCCCTGAATACCACCTACAGTAGAAGCAGCTTGAAAAGTGTTTATATAGTAACACTCAGTGACAAAATTTAATAAAATACATACCAGTATTTTAAGAAGAGAAGAAAACTCACATAACTTTTTTTATAAATTCATAGCGATCATTATGATATTCATGTGAACATGTAAGAACAAAAAAAAGATGCTACTTTGCAGTGTTCCCTCTAATTTTTCCCCACTCACATGCGGAATGAATTTTGTTACGTGCTCCAATCTGGAGGTGATGTGTGATGCATCACCTTCAGATCGGTGCATGTAACAAAATTCATGTGGTGGGGGTGGAGCCGAGGGGTTCGGCATGTGGGAGGGGGCTCAGGGCTGTGTGAGGGCTCCGGTTGAGGATGTGGGCTCTGGGGTGGACCTGGGGCAGAGGGTTGGGTACAGGGGGTGAGGGCTCCGGCTGGGGGTGTAGGAGAGTGCTCCAGGGCTATGGGGGGAGAGAGAACTCCACCCAACTCTCTCTCCCTGCAGCAGCACCTGGGCTTGGTGGGGAAAGGCACCTCTCCCTGCCGCAGCAGCTCCAGGGCTGGGGCTGCAAGTTAGGTGCCCCTCCCCTGGCAGGTCCGGGCCAAGGCTGGGTTTGTACTGGGGGAGTGGCGCCTTGGCTGCGGCTGCTGTAGTGTAGACATTTACTGCAGTGACAGAAGGGTTTGATCATTGTTGTAGTAAATCACCCCCGTCTCCCAGAGAGGTAGAAACTGCGTTGATGAAAGAACCGTTGACCTAGCTGCGTCTATTATGGGGGTTAGGTTGACCTAACTACATCACGCAGGGCATGAAATTTTTCAGAGGCCTGAGTGCTGTAGGTTGACCTAAGTTTTTTAG